ATTATTTATTAAATAACTAGGATACCGGGCGAGAGTAATGAACAGAAAACGTTTTTGTAAAAATCCCCTAAATTTCGTAAAATATTGGTAGATTAGAAAGATTCGATTTTTCTGCCGCATAGCTAAAGCTAGCGCGAATGTTTAGCGTTGGCGTTGTAGTGCTACTCATACACTACAATAACAGAACGCGTTATCTCTTAGTGCTTCTAATAGCTGCGTCTACAGGGTCTACTTTTGCCAGACCCTAGTTTTTGATTTTTCGCACTAAAAATTTTTCGACTAGCCCTATAGCAAATTGTCCTCGGTGCCATAGAGATTACATACAGGCATACCATATTCTAGAATATTAAGAAGATACAGCCACTCTAGACGTAACGCCGGCGGTTTACTTTTTCTTCCTTCGAGTAGTTAAGGTTTAACACGGCGCTACTACTACAAATTGCTAAGTTGTAAAAAGTTATTAATCTACTATAATCTACAAACAGCCCTCTTTCTAAAAAGATATATACCAGGCCCACTGGCTTTGGCCTAAATTTTTTAAAATTTTTTAAAGACATGTGGAAAAACTTTTGAATCAACCTAATAGATTATGACTGGTAAAATACGTGCTACGATGATGAGCTTTTCACACCCATAAAAAGACTCTTTCTAAAATACGATTCTCTTTTCTAAAACACGATTTTCAAGAAGATCCTAGGGCGCAGCTTGCCATTCCAAAAAATTCAAAATTTCTCTCCAAAATCCCCCTTTTTGCCCTACCCAGCTATTACTCAACCTATTCAACAATTTGCGATATGTTCCAGCCTCGGAAGAAATTCATTTCGCCCCGTTTTTCCTTCAAAAAAGGCCATTTTTAGACGGAAAAGGAGAGGATTGGAATAATTGGACGGGATGTTATGAAAAACGAGACAAAAGTGCCACTTGAGCGTCGAGGAAAAACATAAAAGGAAGTATGGGTAATGGGCATAAGAATGGGGCCATTAAATGGCTGACGAAAAGAGAATGACGAACATGGCGGATCGGGGAAAAACGAGTTGTAATTGGAAAGGGATAAAATGAATTTGAAAATTTTTGGATTGAAAATGATTGTAAAATACGATATGTGTTCTTTATCGAACCATTTTTGGACCAAAGATAGAGATTTTGTTGGATTTTGGAGCGTTTTTCTGCTAATTCTAACAATTTTTCAGCTTTCACCGTTTCAAAATTTGTCTCAAAATCAAGTGTAATAATATTGTCCTGAAATCAACTAAAATTTTTTTATTTTTGCTAATTTTCATCGTCGAAACCTCTTATTGAGCCCTTAAAAAACCTGCAAACTAAAAAATTTTCTAGCGCGGTAAATTACAGACCACTTCCTTCCGACAGCTCATAAATAACACTGCAATGGACGGAAAGGTCTGATTTTATCGAATACCACATTTTTGGCGCGAATTTCATTAGCTGAGAAATCAATAGGTCATCGCAGAAGCATTTTTAAATCATCAAAAGAAATTATTTTTATCTCAAAAAAATCTGTTGGCGATAGTGCCAAATTTGAATAATGAATTAGCCTTTACAATTGCGGACCTGATCCAGTGGCAAAAAACGTACTATTTTGCATATGGGAAGTATCAAAAATGTGGCAAAATGCCTCCCTCTCCAAATAAAAAAACTCGGCTTTGAAGGGCACGTTTCTTTTTTCAATTGGAGAGGGATTTTGCCACATTTTTGATACTTCCCGGATGCAAAATGGTGCGTTTTTTGCCACTGGTTCAGGTCCGCCACTGTAAATCGACCGGTCGTTTCCCCCATCCTCACAAATTCCCGTTCTCCTCCTTTTCAAACGACTATCAAGTATATAGTATCAAGTATAAATCAATTCGAAAAAGTCACCATTATGTTGGTGAAGTCACATTTGAAAATAATAAATTCGGACAGCTCCGGGATGTAATTGTTTTGGAATTTGGGTGCGGAAGAAAAGTTCGGCAACCTCAAAGGAAAGCGGGCGAAAAAAAGAGAAATGGGAACGGCAAAAACTTTTAATTTTAATCAAATTCGGATTCCCTTCGTAACGGAATATGAAAAAAAATTCTAGAACGAAGAATTGCCGGAGGGTATGTAGGAAAAGTTTGTGAAATTCGAAATGTTTTCGCCCTGAGGACCCTTTGATGTTTATGTATTCGAATCCCAAAGCGAGTCAAGATGAAGAAAAATGGCTTCGAATCCGTGCCCGCTGGGCATGTCGCAATGTTTTCGAATGCTCTTAACTTTGCGGGAAGGAGTCGTTTTGGGGACGAGGAAGAGGAAGAGATAAAAGTCGAGAGGTCATGAATGAGACGTCATTAACTCGAGTATATCTTGAAATTGTTGGATCTCTGATCTGAATGGACCATGCCGTTTCATGACATGCTTGATAGCCGTATCAAATTTTGACTGGGATCTCAGGGTTCCTCTTACATAAGTCAATTTCCATAGACTCAAATGAAATTTGAACCTCGCCGATCTCTAAGAGAATTTGATCTATGGTGAGTTTTAAGACGCCCATTGAGAAAGAGCTCTTTGAAATCTGTGCATAATAAACAAGGCGATGCGCCATGCTGTACCTTACAAAGGGGAATGGTTAGTGTCCATTCAGAAGCTTGGACGGGCATTGACCGACGTTCAGTCAAGTTAATCCTGCCCGCGGACATTTCAAAGAAGACTCAAAGACTGAGAAAATAACAATGATGGCCGAGGTGGTACAAGTCAAAAAAAGTTAAAAAACAAGGAACCTCGGATCATTGATTTTTGACGAAATGTCGCCGAATTATGGAGTCACAAAAGAAAACTTTCACAGAGAAAAAGTTCGAAAATCTAAAATGGCCCGGTGAATGGATTGGCAACTCGCCAAAAAAGAGACGTGAAAAAACTTTTGTCGGGGAAGAAATGGGGAATTTTTGGGGCGAGAGAGTGCGTTTTTGCGCTTCTTTTCTCTGTCTTCTCTGGCAAATTAAGACGAAGTTAAAAACCCGATAGCAAAGAGTCTATTCCGGTCACCGGCTCCTCAGTTTGATGTGTGGTGCTCTAATTGTGTATGATCTGTTTTGATGTGCATAGCAGTCTGTCGGGAAAATAATGAGCACTCTATCGCTTCAAAAATCCCCGCCGAGAAAATGAATTGTATCGCGGCAAAATCAAACTGTTTTTTTACTTCTGCGAGACGACAGATGCAGCGGCATTATGCTCATTATTTTCCTTTTTTTCCCGACAGGATCCCGACAGGATATCTGCAGCAAAATCAGCATGAAAAATCAGCCAAAAGACAAAAGCTTCAAGCTTTCTTTTAGGATTGTTTTGAAGACGCTATACATAAAATTGCTCTTACAGTTGTCAGCTTTCATCACACTTTACCTGACCTTTACTCTTGCTTTTAATTCCATCTCCGAACAATGGGGGTTTTATCTGTTATTCTCATGGGGGCAATGGGCCATAAAATGGATATGTTTGATGCCAAAAGCGGGCCCGTCCGTTCTCCCCTCCCGTCCTCTTTTTTTTGGTTGACCATCTGCGCGACTTCTCGGAGACAAAATTGTACGCGGGACAAGAGATTTTATTAGATTAGGATCAATAAACGGGACGAGACATGGATAATGCAATTAAAAATTCGTTATACGTCGCAAATTAACGGGATATATCGGGCAAAAATGGGCTGTGTTGCCCGGGAAACTGCCATGAAATGAAACTATCAATTGGCATAATCAAAATTAGGCCATATTTCCACCGGAGTGAAGACTTGACTCATGGGTCAAGTGTTCCGAACTTTGAAAATTGATCGAAATAAAGTTAAAATCGAAAAAAATGAGTTTAGTGAAAAAGTAAACACACAAAAAAAAAAGGAATTTCGCAACACTGTAAGTTGTTTATTTGAGTGCATCGCCATTAAAATTCCTTTTTTTTCTTCGCGTAATTAGGCGTGCTTTAGCGGCTACAACTTGGAATTTTGATGAGAATTCGAAAAAATTACGCGTAAAAGTTGCAGCCTATCACAAGAAAATTCTTTAAAAATATCAGCAAAATTCCAAAAGCCAGCGAAAAATGTCCCTTCAAATTAATTCGCTCTTATTTTTGATTGGAATTTGATGGAAGGAAGAAATTCCTTTGCAGGCATCCGCCGCGTCTCGCTCATTAACTTTTCATCAACACCTTACAGCGAAATCTCATGTTGAAAGTGGCAGTAAAACAGTTTTTTGAAAATAAATTGCTTCTTGTAAACAAAAAAGTTTCATAAGTTACAGGGGAAATGCTCCAAGTGCGACTCTCAGATTTTGATGAAACTTGGCATAAATTTAGAATAATTTTTTGCGATATATAGCTCGCGTTTTGCAGAAACAACCGAGATTTTTAGATCGAAAGTTGGCGAAAATTTGACACCCTTTGCCGAATTTTGGCATGAAAAGTCTCATAGTTATTTATACTGTAGAGGTTAATGTCTCCATAAAAAATTTGTTTTTTTCCGCGGAACTAGCGAAGTCATGGCTGAAAAGTGTTTTTTCTCTTACCGCTCTCCACATTTCTCGTACTCTCTCTCTCTCTCTCTCTCTCTCTCTCTCTCTCTCTCTCTCTCTCTCTCTCTCTCTCTCTCTCTCTCTCTCTCTCTCTCTCTCTCTCTCTCTCTCTCTCTCTCTCTCTCTCTCTCTCTCTCTCTCTCTCTCTCTGCAATGATCGTTCGATATTTCGGCAAGCACAAATGCAAAGCGCGAGCTAAAACTTTCAGCAATTAATACGTGGCCTATGACCGACATGTGTGTAAAGTTTAAGGAAAATCTGAGCGTCGGAGTTGGGGTACTTCCTTGTTAGTTGTAAAATACGTTCCAATAAATCATTCGGATGTTGGAAAAGACAAAAATCTGGCCAAAGAGTCATTCGTTAAGAAATTGTTTTCTTTTTTCTCCCTTTCAAAATGCTAATGGGCTTCTTGTTTGATTGAAGATTTGGAAGCAATTGTTTGTTTCTTTTCCTCAATTCGTCCACAAGAAACGATGCTTTGCTTTCTCATTTTTGTCTATGCTTCTATTCTGTCGTGTTCATCGGCAAACAAGCCAATAGTCCCATCAAGTTTGTCGCTCTCTGATCTAAATCTGATGGCGTTGTGTGAATTAGGATACTCCTCATTGGTCTATGAGGATCACGGAAATTATTGCGGACAAAATCCGAAAGGTGGAAATGCCACCGATGATATCGATCAGTAAGTGGATTTAGCGCTGAATACATGGTCTATAGATGCTGCAAGGTTCATGTGTTATGCTACAACTCTTCTGTAACAGAGAAAAAATGCAAGAAATCGGAAGTTCCCAATCATCCCTACAAACAGAACTGTACCGTTGATGGTATTGGTCAGAAAAAGGCTGTTTGTGACGGTAAGACAAAAAAATTTTATTAATCTTACAAGTTTTTCCTCTGTATTTTACTGCCTAGCTACGCTATAGTGACGTACCTGATCCAGTGCCAACAGATATACCATTTTGCATCCTGAAAGTATCAAAAAATGTAGCAAAATGCCTCCCTCTTCAACTAAAAAAACTCTGTTTTGAAGGGCGCGCCCTTTCTTTCACAAAAAGAGCTTTTGAAATCGGAGTTTTTTTTCGCTTGAAGAGGGAGATATTTTGAGACATTTTTTGATGCTTCTCGGATGCAAAATGGTTTAACGCCTGTTTTTTCCTGAAATCATAAAAGAATACCAAGTAATTAACATAAAGTAAAGTTTGTTGGCGTTTTTACCGCCACTTTGATGACTTTTTTTATCCGCGGAAATACAAAACAAATACAAAGCAACTTTTCAGGCAGTTTATTTTATTACAGCCTACCTGCTAATATCACAGACGTTGTGTAGAATTTTAAAGCAGCTCAAATTGCTGCAATTTCCATATTTTTCATGATGGAATAAGTGCAAAGTCGAAACATCTCCAAAATCGAGGTCCTTCCGTTTGACATTCAAAAAAACAAGTTAATAAATCAGTATAGTCATGAAAAGAAAGTGACTAGTGTAGAATACCACGGATAATTTAGTAGTATAAAAATCGCTTGGCTGCATCTAAAAGTTTTTGCCTCAAGACCCAAGAAAAAAGATTGCAGTTTTTCCCGCCGCACCCTACGTATCCTTTCAGATGACAACGATAAATGCGGGTTATTCCTCTGTTGGTGCGACAAATATCTGGTCGATTGCTGGCAACAGTACCCTCCTCCCCACATAGCGGACAAATTTCGTCAAGACTTCCAAAAAAGCAACAACTATTCGTCATCAAAGTCCATCTCTTCACTTTGAAGCACATAATATAAATTTTAATTTTTCTCAATAAATTTATTCCAACAACTATGTGATTATAACACATTATGTTAACAACCTAAATGAAAGGGCTTGTTGTCTTCCCGGAGCTGATAAATAGGCGCGTTATCGTACATAAACAATACTGTTAAAAGGTGAAAATTCGAGAAATACGAAATGAAAGTCTAAAAAATCAAAGATACGATGGATAAATACAGTTCTAGAAGTGTGTATTTACAGAACATTTTTGGGCTGAAACAATGTTTTTGGCCGGGTTTGCCTCAATTTTTCTTTGCGTCGCCATTCCTGAATGCTTTGTCATCCTGCACTAGCTCCTGTTCAATCGCTTCAATATCCGATACTGGCGCATCAATCGTCTCAAACTCCTCTCCCTCCTCAATAGTTGGCATTTCATTCAAATCTGGCCAAATCTCGGCCCACTTCAGATACCTGTTCTCGCAAAATTCGGGTTTCATTACACACTCTTCCAGGTCGATCACATAATTCCGAGTCACGTTGTCCGGCGAAATTGGAATCCATTTCTTTTCGCCACGCCCATTCGGGTCTCCATAACGGGCAAAGTTGGCAAAAAGATTGGTGAAGTGGTCCATTACAATCAAATCTTCGGCGGATGGAGTGAAATGCGTGGAGACAATGCATTTTCCAAACAAATAAGCGAGTTCGGTGCTATGGGTGGCTCCTGCGAAAGTAAGGTTATAGATTTGAAAACAATTTGGAAAAAATACAGGCTAGAGTCGAATCTCGATTTTTCGGGTCGACGACAGTTCGGGTCAACAGAAAATCAATCGATAGAACAGACGGAGACCCAAAAAAGATTGGAAGAGGTGCCTACGAGACATGGAAAAGCAGTTGGATGCTGCTTTTCCATGTCTCGCTCGGCGAACGGTCGGCGAAGACTTTCAATATGAACACTTTTTCTAATTTTAGCTATTGCTAACCTTCGTTTTCTTAACCCTGGGTTATTGTAACATATAACAAACCAAAATTTGCGGCAAAGAATGAGGATCCGTAACTTTTATCTAGATATTATTGATGTGAGTGCATGTGAAATACCTCAAAATACGTGATAGACTATTCTTGGACTTTTGACCTTATCATGTTAACTAAGCCTTCTCTTAGCCTCCCCGATGCGCAAAACGACAAATTGAGGTAGCCCAAAGTACCCCCTGAATTGTTGTTGACCCGAAAAGTCGTAGCGCCGCAAGAATACCCAATGGCAGATCGACAATTCCTAATTCGCGTTTTGCAGAAGCAACGGAGATTTTTCCGCTTTTTTTCCCGGTGAGAGATCAACCTTTCAAAATAAATTGACAAATTTATGGCCAGAAAATCTTTTCTTTAAAATTCCTGCCTCTGCTTTGAAACAGCTACAATTGGGAAAATTTGGCAGGTGCCTCAGGTAAACCATGCACTCAAAATTTAAAGAAATTCCAAGGGTAGACCCTCAATAATTATAACCCAATAAAGTTATCAAAAAATCTCACCTTTGAAAGGGAAAAGATGACCCAATAGACCCCCAACACTTGGCCGATGATAATCAAATGTGTACAAGTAAACGTCATGTCCCAACTTCACCATCGACTCAGCCAAATGTATCGTGCTGTTGTTGAACATCACATCCGAGCAGAGCTTGATGATCTGCTCTTTGTATTCCAAGGACTTGGGGGACTTTGTCTCATCCAAAAACGTGGCAAATGCCTTGTCAATCAGCTCTTGTTTGGGCTGATCCAGCTTGTACTTGCTCAAGGTTTGATCCAGCACCATGGTGGCGAAATCTTTGAGCGAATGGTTGATCTGTTTGGCGATTACTGAAAATGAGATTTTTTGGGTGAAAAATGGAAAAAAAGTTTTGTAAATCTCTTTTCAATTTTGAACTCACCAAATAAAAGACTTTCCCATTTTGTGACTCCGGTTATGACCTGTTTCTTTGGCATTTCTTTCCGTAATTCGAGGAATTCTTTGGGGAAAAAGTCTCCATCAACAACTGGACACACATGAATCCGACCGTCCTTGTTGATCCTCAATTTCCTTGATGGTAATAGGCTTAGCTCGAGTTTGGATGCCGGAAGGGCCCTGAAAAAAGAGAAATTTAGTCATCATTTTTATCATCCTGGATTGTTTTAAAAAAATAATTGAGAATTTTTGTAGTAAGCCGGAGTTGGACGATTGGGGAAAAAGACGATTGGGGAAAGGGACGATTGGGGAAAAAGACGATTGGGGAAAAGTACGATTGGGGAAACCGAAAAGTGTTATTTTTCTTCCATGCAAATGTCGAAGTTAGGATAATCGAGGGTGCTCATTTCGAAAATGACATTCATTTTTTTGATTCTTACTTTTTTCCTTAAGTAGTACTGTAAAGTAGTAATTTTTGATTTTTTTTCATAAATACTCGATTTAGGGGTTTTCGAGGGTGCTGATTTCGAAAATCATGTAAATTTTTCCTCTAGTACTACATAGTACTATTCTGATACTATATAGTACGAAGTGAAAATATGGCTTTTGACGTTAATGGTGTTGTTTTGATGCTTAGTACTCTTCAAAAATACGTTTTTAAGACTTGGTGCTATACAGTACTGTCTGATACTATGTAGTACGAAGTAAAAATAGGCGTACTAAGCACCAGAACAACACCACGAACGCCTAAAGGCCAACTTTACACCTCGTACTACATAGTATCAGGTAGTACTATATAGCACCAAGTCTTTAAAACGTGTTTTTGAAGAGTACTAAGCATCAAAACAACACCATTAACGTCAAAAGCCATATTTTGACCTCGTACTATATAGTATCAGAATAGTACTATATAATACTAGAGGAAAAATGAACATGATTTTCGAAACCAGCACCTTCGAAATCCCCTAAATCCAGTATTTTTCGAAAATTTTTAAAAAATTAGTACTTAACAGTACTACTTAAGAAAAAAAGTAAGAATCAAAAAAAAGAATGTCATTTTCGAAATGAGCACCCTCGATTATCCTAATTTCGACATTTGCATCGAAGAAAAATAATACTTTTCGGTTTCCCCAATCGTACTTTTCCCCAATCGTCTTTTTCCCCAATCGTCCCTTTCCCCAATCGTCCTTTTCCCCAATCGTCCCAGTTCCGTAGTAAGCTTATGTATGTGCGTGTGATTTGTTCGACAAAAAAATCGAGATTTTCTGTGGAAAATTTGCCAAGTTGTGGCCGAAACGCTGTCTTTTTGTCGTCTTCAAAACTATAGTTTAATAAAACGGTTGCTTTGCAAGCCCAAGCTAAAATTTTTAGGAAATGACACGTTACCCTAATACGCTATGCAGACAAATTTAATTATAGTCATCAAGCACTTCACTCTTACTGAAGAAGTACCCCAAATGCGACGCTCAGATTTTAATGAAACTTAACGCAAATTTAGAATAATTTTTTCTACAATATATGCGAGAATCCTAGCTGGCACAATGCAGAAAGCACGGAGATTTTTATATCAAAAGTGGAGAAAATTTTGAGATTCTTTGTCGAATTTTGGCACAAAAAATGTTATGCCTATTTCCCTATTTCTACTGTAAAAAGTCTTGTTTCCACAAAAAAATAATTATTTCTGCAAGGCACTAGCAAAGTTATGGCCAAAAAGTGTTTTTCGCTGCGAACGCTCTCCGAGTTTCGCATGTTCTTTCGGCCGCAAAGGTCGTTCAATATCTCGGCGGCGCTTTCAAAGGGAGAGCTAAAACTTTCATGAATTCATATTTGGTCTATGCCCAAAGTGTGTGCCAAATTCAAAGAAAATCTGAGGGTCGCACTTGCGGTACTCCCTTGTTAAACAAAAATAGCAACCCACCTCAAAAACTTGACCAACTGCTCGTTGATCTCCTCATCCGTCGCTTTCTCATCGTATTTGAATCCATTCATTGTTGTCGCAAAATAAAGCCACTCCTCCCTCATTCTCTTTGCATGCTGCCTCGAGAACGTTGCGTACGCATTTCCGGCCATCGCAATATATCGATGGAAAAGGCCTTGAGTATGGGGCGACAGAGCTAAACAATCGACCGCTGAGCCTCCGGCACTTTGTCCAAAAATGGTGACATTGTTTGGGTCTCCGCCAAACGTCTCGATGTTATCACGGACCCATTCCAGGGCTTTGTGCATGTCCCAGAAACCGTAATTCCCGGGAGAATGATGATCGCCCGTGCAGAGGAAACCGAGAAGACCTGTCCGATAATTGAAAGTGACTACTATCACATTCTTCACGCATAAGCATCTAAATAGGCAGCTAGTACAAGTCGCACCGCTTCCACTTACTTGCAAATATTGCTGTCTCCGTAATGTGTGCATGAATGTATCGTATATCCGCCACCATGAACAAACACCATGACCGGCAACTTCTCCCTGAGCTCCTCGACCCGACCCGGTGTGAAAACGTTGAGATAAAGACAGTCCTCTGACTTTGGTATTCGGATAAAAACTTTTTCGTGAATCATGTCCGAGTGCGGACATCGAGGAGGGAGTTTTGTGCAGTCTCGGATCCCCTCCCATGGCAATGGAGGCTGGGGTTTCTGGAAATGGAAAATTTGATTTTTGAAGGTGATTTTTAGAGGTATTCGTATAAAAATCAATGAAAAAAGAGGGTTTTTTGTTACTATCGGTGTTAGATTTTCAGGATAGACTGCTAGAATACCGCTGTTTCTACAAAAAAAAAATTTTGTTCATATGCAAAAAAGTTATGGGTAATATCCGTTCTTTCATCAGGCAATATAGCTAAAGATTTCAGGGTATAATTTAAGTTTAGTTTAGTCTTCCATACAAGGTGTGTTCGAGGTAAATTCGATTTTTTTCGGCCACTTTTTTCTTCTACACTGTACCGTTCAGCACAAGTTTTATCCTTTTTTTGGACGTCAAAACGAGGAGTCTGGTGACCGGAATAGACTCTTCGCTATCGGTTTTTTACGCTTTGTCTTGATTTCACAGAGAAGACAGAGAAAAGACGCGCAAAAACGTACTCTCTCGCTCCAAACAATCCCCATTTGTTCCCCGACGAAAAGTTTTTCGTGTCTTTTTTTGGCGAATTGCCAACCCATTCATTCACCGTTTTAGAGGCCGAGAAAATTGAATTAACCCACCTTATACGAAAAATTTTAAGCCAATCTTATATTGCCCCCCTAAGGCGTTCAAATGCTTTTTTTTCAACGAATGATGATTTTTTAAAATCCCTTTGCCAAGTTACAAAAAAAATGGTTTTCCTCACCTGAAACCTCAACTCCCCAATCGGTGGTTGAGCAAAGGGAATACTCATATAGGCACTGGCTTGTCGTCCATCCTCGAACACGTAGACTAGACCCTGTATAGCACCATTGTGTGTCTTGAGCACCTTTGTGGGCAATGCCCGTTCCACCGGTCTCAAATACGAATTGATATGGCCCATCACCTAAAGTTCTGAGTTAAAAAATCGAGCGAAGAAAAAGAAAATTTCAAAAAATTGAAAAAATCGCGTTTGAAATTTCATTTTTTTTTTTTTTTGAAATCGACCGGTCGAAAAATATCAAAAAATTTCGACTTTGCACGAAAAAATAATTTTTAAAATTAGAAAAATACTTGACGCAATACCTCGGAGCTAAATTTTTTCGACCAGTCGATAAACAGAATTTTCGAAAAATCCCGAAATTCCTCGAAAAATAAACAAAAAGTAAATTATTAAAAGCCCGCACAAGGGAGAAGGAGACGTCTTCTAATGAGCTTTGAGCCCGCTAAAAATATTCTAGTCTCTTTTTTGGGAACAAAGTTTATCGAAAGTAACAAACCCAAAGCTTTTTTTGAGCAAACCCAAAAAAAGAGAAGCGAAAGTGATTTTGAAAGATACGAAACAGCTCATAGTGTTAAAATTGGTAGTAGATAAGAGAGAAAATTTTGAGTTTTAGAACATGAATAGTAATTGAAAAAGCCTGAAAATGTTAGCCCTTGCTTAGCAGGTGCTGTTGAAACATTCAACAATCTTTTACGGCTAGAGAGCATGGAAGATGAAGACTGCTGATTAGACAAAAAATTTTTGATGCATCAGTCTTTTCAGGGCAAAAAAATTGATTTTTTTTGCAAGAAAATTATACAAAGTACCCCAAGTGCGACGCTCAGATTTTCTTTAAATTTTGCACACACGTCGGGCATAGACTAAATATCAATTCCTGAAAGTTTTACCTTGCGCTTTTCAGCAACAGCCGAGATATTCAAGATCTTCCGAGAGAGTATGCGAAACGCGGAGAACGGGCAGAGAAAAACACTTTTCGGCCATGTCTTTGCCAGTTTCGAATGGAAAAAATTATTTTTTGTGAACACATTACCCTATATGGTAGAAATAAGCATGAAACTTTTCATGCCAAAATTCGCAAAAAATGGGTCACATTTCTTCCAACTTTTGGCTAAAAATCTCGGTCCTTTCTGCAAAGCGCGAGTTAAAAGTCTAGCATATGATTTCAAAAAAATTATTCTAAATGTATCCCAAGTTTCATCAAAATCTGAGCGTCGCAGTTTGAGCACTTCCCTTATAAGTGAAGGCCAGAAGAATTCGTACATTTCTCCGATGACTATCAAAATATTACATAAATTATTATCAATACATCTTATTTGAAAAAATCAACCACTCCCAACAATAGAGCTCTTCACCAGCTTCGCTTAACTTTGCTTTTTTTTATGCATCTGACTCACTGTAGAATCGAGGGACACATCAAAGATTACTCACCCCAAAAATTCGCCCTCTTGAGAAGCGATAAGAAAAAAGTGCAAAACAAAAACGAAAAAACACAAAAATTAGCCAAATCCCCGCAAGGCAATGTAATTCGAAATCAAATGTTGGCGCCCAAAATAACATTTCCAATAAAAAAGCAAAATTTGAGGGATTTCGGGGCCCGTTTCTCCGCGCCTTTTGCACGCAAATCTGGCCCATTTATATCAATGTGAAAAATGTGTCGAATGCAACGGAATGCGTTTTTGGGGCGTCATCACAGTAGCTGTAAGGAGATAATTTTTCGGAAAGGGAATCTTTGGACTTTCTTGGGGAAATAAATCTTTCTCAGCTGACGGAAGAATAGACGTAATAGAGACTTTTTAAGACACATATGTTGACAAACAGGTATAATGGTGACAATTCGAGTTACAAATTTTATAAATCTTTAATTTTTTTTAGTCTGTCGGGAAAATAATGAGCACTCTGTCATATTGAAAATCGCATCGCCGCCGAGAAAATGAATTGTGTTGCGATTTTTCGGGTCGACGACAGTTCGAGTCAACACAAAATCTTTCGATTAGGGCAGGTGGATACCCAAAAAAAGCTTGTAGAAGTGCCTACGAGGCCTGGTAAAGCCGTTGGATTTTCGGCGGAGACTTGGCAAAGGCTTGCAATATGTTCACTATTTCTAATTTTAGCTATTACCAACGTTAGTTTACTTTACCCTGAGTTATTGTAACACATAAAATACCAAAATTCGCGACAAAAAACGAAAATCCGTATGTTTTATCCAAATATTGTTTGAATCAGATATCAAGGAATGTAAAATACCTCAAAATAGGTGATAAGCTATCCTAGGACCCGATCAATCTTATTATTTTTACTAACTGGGCCTTCTCCTAGCATAGAATGACGAACCGCGGCAATCCATAATTTCGTGTAACCAAACTGTCGCTGACCCGAAAGTCGAAGCGCCCAAAACTTTAGGTAAAATACCCAGGATGACAATTCATTTTTTTAGCCAAACATACAGGGGAAGTACTCCAAGTGCGACGCTCAGATTTTCTTTAAATTTTGTACACACGTCGGGTATGGACTAAATATCAATTCCTGAAAGTTTTAGCTCGCGCTGTGCGGGCGCCGCCGAGGTATCGAACGAGTTTTGCCGCCGAGAGAGCACGCTAAACGTGGAGAGCGGTCAGAGAGAAAAGCGCTTTTTGGCCATAACTTTAGCAGTTTCGTGCGGAAAAATTTGATTTTTTGTAGAAACATTATCCTTTACGGTTGAAATAGGCACGAAACTTTTCGTGCCGAAATTCGGCAAAAAGTCCTAAATTTTCGCCGACTTTCGAGCTAAAAATCTCGGTTGTTTCTGCAAAGCGCGAGCTAGGATTCTCGCATGTATCTTAGAAAAAATTATTCTGAATTTGTGTCAAGTTTCATCAAAATCTGAGCGTCGCACTTGGAGTACTTCCCCTGTTAGTCTATGCCAGGCGGAAATTCATAAAAATTTTTAGCTTGCGCCTTCTTATTTAGCCGGGATGTCCAAAGATCTTATACTTACCCCATTAAAAATTGCGATATCTAAGGTTTGGAAAGAGCTATCAAAAAACTGCGTATGCCATTTGAAAGAGCATGTCACAAACCCTATTAACGCATAAAACCAGCCGGTGGAAAGTTTTTTTCTCGTTTTGGCAACTATTTTTATATCTTTGCCGTTTCAAAAGTACACCTACCCTATTTTTGGCCAATTTTTCACAGGCTATATACAGTATCAGCCCCAGTAAAACCCCCGCCAATTCCTGAGACCGCCCGAGAAGCGCAGACCAAGCGAAGACCAACGCGTTCCAAACGAAAACAAAGTAATCTTCCCAAATCTTAATCGTTTCCCCCTCCGATTATCTGCATTCCATCTTGGACCATTCGCGCTACGGTTCCACCAAATAAATCCATCAATAAGTTGGGCGATAAGCCCACGGACGAACTTTTATCCCCCTCAAAAAGCGAGAAAACGTCACTTAAAGTTCCCTTTTTTTCGGAAATCTTTTGAACCACTCTCGACTTTCCTCCCAGTCTCGAGGTTCGGTCCCCCCCATACGGCTTTTATCGCTCTCCCCGTTTTCGCAGAGATTTTTGGTCGACAAGTTGGGGAGGGAAATGAATTTGATACTGTTATAATAAAAGAGAGGAAACGGCCTTGTTGGGGACAGCCAACGGGGCCCCGACTTCCCCCCGCGCTTTCCCCCCATATGGATAATATTTTAGCTGATGAGCGATAAAAGCGGGAGAATTGACAAGTTTGAGGGAGAATTGAGAAGAAAGAACTTTCCAAAAATCACATTGGAAAGTGATATTTTTTTGATTTGGCAGGGAAGTGGGCTAGAGACAAAGACTAGACTTTGCAGGGAAAGTACTCACGCTCAGATTTTTTTTAGACCAATTTTTTTAAGACATACGATTACTCAAGCTAATAATATCTAGATAAAATTTACTGATCCTCTTTTTTTGCTTGGTCTTTTGTATGCTGCAGTAACCCAGGGCAAAGAAAACTGGCGTTTGTTATAGCTAAAATTAGAAATAGTGGACATATTGCAAGCCTTCGCCAAGTCTCCGCCGAGCCTTCGCCGAGCGTCCGCCGACCATCCACGGCTTTGCCAGGCCTCATGGGACTTCCTACAACTTTTTTTTTTGAGTATCCACCTGCCCCGTATTGACCGATTCTGTGATGACCCGAACTGTCCTCGACCCAAAAAGTCCGGACACGTTGTTGTGGACTTGGAAAAAATTTAGACCAAGCATCTCTAAGACATCTGCAAGAGATTGTGGTTTGCAGAAACGTTAAGATATTTAGAATCTTGCCAGTCAAGCTTTTTCAGGTGCGTATGCCTGTAACCTGCAAGCAAAGACTTCATAATTTTAAAAAAAGATCCGGAATTTTGTAGAAACTCTGAGCAACATTTTGAGCATCTCCCATGTAAAATTTCAACAAGTTTACGGATTTTTAAACCTCAACAATTCATTGCGTCAGCACTTTCCGAGCTTAAAACAACAAGTCCAACCTCCATTCCTCTTGAACCTCCTCAAATTTAAAATTAAACCCACAAGTTCAACTCTCGACAAGCCACGAAAAAATCTCATCACCAACTTTCAAAAAACAAACCCGATGAACCTAAAAATCATACGAAAAACCAGCTCAAGACGACCCTCTCTCTCCGCCCTCCCCATTTTGCGCGCTCTCTCGCCACGGAGTTCAAGAAAAGCGGGGAGCCGTGTCCTTGAAGAAGGATATGTCCCGCCGCAAACACGCCGGTAATAACCGACGAGTGATGGTGGGAGGAGAGACTATAATCACTGTAGTTTGTGACTTTTAATTTTCCCAAAAATTGATATCGAATTTCATGTGATTTTTGGTAGGGTTTTTGGCGAAAAGCAATTAACGAACACTGAAAACTAATTTCACTTTTTAAAAGCAGCAAAGTTATTGACGCTTGCCGCTTGACCCACTCTCTTGTTTTTGTGTGCTCTCTCGTAAAGAACACTGTCGAATGGCACCCAAAAAAAACGTTGGCCAAACCTACAGTGACGGACATGATTTAGTGACAAAAAACGTGCCATTTTGCATCCATGAAGTATCAAAAAATGTAGCAAATTGCCTCCATCTTCAACTACAAAACTCCGTGTTGAAGGACACCCTCACAAAAAGAACGGGCGCGCTTTTGAGATCGGAGTTTTTTCACTAGGAGAGGGAGGTATTTTGCCACATTTTTTATACTTCCCCGATGCAAAATGCTACGTCTTTGGCCACTGGGTTAGGTTCGCCATTATAACAGGAAATATCACCATAACACATGATGTAACATCAGTGAAAAATCTTATAATTCACTGCATAAAAGACGTCCTTATTAACAAGGGAAGTGTTCTAAGTGAGATGCTCAGATTTTCTTGAAATTTTGTACACAGGTCAATCATGAACTGAGTATCAATGCCTAAAAATTTTATCCCGCGCTTTGCAGGCGTAGCCGAGATATTGAACCATCTTTGTGGCCGAGGGATTACGCTAAACATGGAGCGGACAGAGAGAAAAACACGGCCATATCTTTGCCAGTTTCGCACGGGAAAAATTAATTTTTTGTGGAAACATTATTCTCTATGATAGAAATAAGTATGAAACTTTTCATGCCAAGGTTCGCCAAAAAAATTCGTATTTTAGCAGAATTTTTGGTCTAAAAATCCGAGCTAGAAACCTCGCAAATGTCTAAAAAATCATTCTAAATTTGTCCCACGTTTTGTCAAAAACTGAGCGTCGCACTTGCAGTACTTCCCCTATATGGAATTTTTCAAAAAAAGTTGATTTTACGGGTCGTGATAAAATCACTACTGAACATACATATATACATGTAATAGTCCTCAATTTTGATGACATAGCCTTCACAACAACCCTTAGACATTCGTTTTCAAACCGGAACACATTGTAACACCTTCAACCACCAGTTTTCCCTCCCACGAAGTTCAAATTTCTCCCCGCGTTTTCAAAAACGTCGTTTAATTTTTGCAACAAACGAAAAGATGGACTATTTATTACAACGCCCGCTGCCCAAAAACCATCTCAAAAACGTTTCGCATTTAAACCGTCAACTTTACTAACTACCGAAGCTTGTAATGAGATTCAGTTTCCTCGGTCTAATTTTGCTGCTTTGTATCTCTCCAATTCTTACAATTCCACCACCGCCCGAAGGCATGGTTATGATGAACAGTAAGTCCGGATTTTTCGTGCAATATGATGCCGGTTTTTTTTTTGTTTTGTTATTTATCGTTCTTTCTTCGGTCTTTTTTCGGACTGTCGCTCGCACTGTGACTTTTTCTGCACAGTGTAAGTGGCTGGAGTGATTTTCGCGACCTGCACTGTGCGAAAAAGTTCAATTTGCACCGTGCCATCGGTCCGCAAGTGGCTGCAATGATTTCCGTTTTTCCCCAATTGACTTTATTTGTTAGTAAGAGATACAACCTTGATATTTCAAGGCCAACAGACAACAAATTGAACATCATCATATTCTTTTAGGAAGCAAATTGTACAAAACTGGCAGGGGAAGTACTCCAAGTGCGACGCTCAGATTTTCTTTAAATTTTGTACACACGTCGGGTATGGACTAAATATCAATTCCTGAAAGTTTTACCTCGCTCTTTGCAAGCGCCTTCGAGATATTGAACGATTTTTGCCGCCGAGAGAGTACGCTAAACATGGAGAGCGGACAGAGAGAAAAGCGCTTTTCGGCCAGAACTTTGGCAGTTTCGTGTGGAAAAATTTGATTTTTTGTAGAAACATTATCCTTTACGGTAGAAATAGGCATGAAACTTTTCGTGCCGAAATTCGGCAAAAAGTCCTAAATTTTGGCCAACTTTCGATCTAAAAATCTCGGTTGTTTCTGCAAAGCGCGAGCTAGGATTCTCGCATATATCTTAGAAAAAATTATTCTAAATTTGTGCCAAGTTTCATCAAAATCTGAGCGTCGCACTTGGAGTACTTCCCCTCCAAGTGCGTTAGTAAGTTAGTAAGAGATACAACCTTGATATTTCAAGGCCAAAAGACAACAAATTGAACATCATCATATTCTTTTAGGAAGCAAATTGTACAAAAATTAGTACTACTCACAAAGGAAGTACCCCAAGTGCAACGCTCCGATTTTCTTTAAATTTTGTACACACGTCGGGTACGGACTAAATATCAATTCCTGAAAGTTTTACCTCGCTCTTTGCCAGCGCCTTCAAAATATTGAACGATTTTTGCCGCCGAGAGAGTACGCTAAACATGGAGAGCGGACAGAGAGAAAAACACTTTTTGGCCATAACTTTGCTAGCTTCGTGCGGAAAAAAAATGATTTTTTGTGGAAACACTACCCTCTATGGTAGAAATAGGCACGAAAATTTTCGTGCCGAAATTCGGCAAAAAAATATTCGAAATTTGTGCCAAGTTTCAACAAAATGTGAGCGTCGCACTTGGGGTACTTCTCCTGTCAGTTGAAAAATCTTTTTACAAATTCTAATCAGACATTACCTGATAAAATAATACTCATTCAAGTTCATAACATCCTTTACTTTCAGGTCTACCAAGTTTCAGCGGCTTAAACGGCGGTGGATCTCTCAGTTTCTTCTCGCCCTCCCTATCAAAAGGTCGACCAATAAAACATGACAACTAAATTGTATTTTATTTTCGCTGATAATTTATTTTGTTATCAGTATAACCTAATAATCTCATAAATAAATATTTAAATTTGAATTAACCCTTTTTCTCCACGAATTTAGCACTTTCAAATTTTTTCTGGCATTCCGTTTCATGTCGAAAATAATATTTTTTCGACGATTTTTTGGAAATCCGCGAAGTCTAGATAACGTAATTGAGATTTCCATCGGATTGCAAGCATTCCCCAGATGATTAGCCGGAGTTTGAGAAGAGGTTGCATTCGAGCTTATTCAGCCGCCAGAACCGCAAAATTCGATGCCAAGTTGAAGCCAAGCGAAGTTCTAGTCAACGTAGAAGCGCACACAGTGAGGTATTCGCATTATATTCCAAGTTTGGCGGACTTTGGTAAGTTATTTTGAACTTTTTTGTTGTTCTTCAAATTTTAGGTATTACTTTTGAAAAATGGTTTGGATGAAGAAGATAAAGATGGGTTTTGAATCCGTATTTTGCCTAGCAATGCTGAAGAAAGGTTCTTCTTTCTTCTGAATTGTTGTCGAGCAGTCTTAGTTTGACTGATTAGAAAAGAAAACAATTTTTTGACAAAGGGGCACCATGAGTAATATTAGAGGTCAAAAATGTCCAAATTCTCTCAAATTTTTAATTACCCAATGACCCATAATCTTCGTGGGAGTCCTAACCTCCTTTCTCTGTTTGATAAATTTATTTTCAGGCACGGAATTAGTCGGGACAATCGAAAAAGTTGGTGAGGATTCGGATTTTAGTCCAGGCGACAGAATTTTCGCTGGAACTTCACGAACTGCGAATCTTAATGAACCGGTTCTGCTTCACAACTTCGACAACAAAGTAATGATACTGCCAGAGACCTTATCCGCTCCAGATGCGCTGGCATCCGTTGGGAATTACGCCTTGGGATACATGGCTTTGAAGAGATTGGCACTTGAGAAACAAGGGCAAGTTTTTGACTATTATTTCTTTGTTTTTAGTGAAAGATTTGCAATATCGATGCACATATGCCGTATTTTACAAAATTATTTGATTCGGCCCAGTCTTCATCATTTTTTTTCGTCGGCAGTCTCATGGATAATATAATTTTTCAGCAATTCCATCCTTCTTCTTGGCCAAAATAGATCTCTGAGTGCTGCGATTCTCGACCTTGCCGACAATCTTTTCGAATGCGAAGTGACAGGAGTATCGGACGACAAATTAATTCTGGAAAGATTCGAAGAGGATGGATGTGAAGCTCTGAACTGGAAAGCCGCGGATTTCCCTCAAAATGTGTTGGATAGAACGTTCGGAAAGGGAACTGACTTTGTTATCGACACAGTTGGCGGTGATGCATTGGGTGTTTTGCAAAAATGGTAAGGATTTTCGATGAGAGGAAGACTTGACTCAAATTCAAATTTTTTGAGTCAACTCTTTCCCTCGGTCAAAAGTGGCTTTGTTTGTTACCGGATGTTGTTTCCAGTGTAAAACCGAATGGTTTAATCTTCCTGCTTGATCAATCGTCCGGAAAAATCCCAGTAATTGATAGCAAAACATTGATTGAACGGAATTCCTCGATATCTTCCTTATCCATCCCAAAACAGAACCCCGCCGACGTCCGACAAGCCTTCCACATGGCAATTCAAATATTGGAAAGTGGAATGCCTCGAGGAGTGAAGCCCATAGTAGTGGAGACGGAAGAGGAAGCAAGGAAGTCATTAGTGGACAATAAATTGATCGGCCAAGTCGTGATGATCCACAAAAATTAGGTTGTTATTGTTGGATAGTTGGTTTAGAATAAATGGATTTACTACGTATGCTTGAGGAGATGGCCGCAATTTGTGAGCTCAAATGTCCGAAGCTTTTAAAAAAGATTCTCGGCTTTCACGGCGTGGGAATATCTCCCCCCGGGCTCGGAGGAAATTGAAATGTGGGTGGACAGAAGCCTACTTTAGGGCTCTTCAGGATGAAAGGACGACTCGTTTGTCTGTTCTGTTACTTTGTGTTGCCAAGTGTTGTTCAGGGAGTTGGATGTGAGTAATTAGAGGCTTTTTTGGTTACAGTAATTATGGGTTTCAATACTGGTATGTTGGTAAATCTTGCACTGTGCAATCAGGATGCCAGCGACAGCCTAAGAAATTCTGCTGCACGGTGCAAAAAGCAAGAGATTGCACAGTGCAAAAAGAACTTTTGTTTTCGCACAGTGCATGTCGCAGAAATCACTCCAGCGACGTTCACTATGCAGAAAAGGTTGGGGTGCGAGTGCGTTGCTGATTTTCACCAAAAAATCCGAACTGTCCACATTTTTGAACACACCCCCATTTCGAAAATTGAGAAAAATTAGGCGTGACATTTTATACGATGAAGAAAATTTTCAAATGTGAACACATTGCAACCACCTTGGCTTGCTGGTCAACCAATTCTGCAACCTTGAATATAAATATTGGCCCTATAGCCGATCTGCCCCAAAAGAAATCAAATGAAGGTGTGCAAAAAAAATTTTCAATTTGTTCCAAAAGGGGTGGTGTTCATTCAAGGGGGAGTGTTCAAAAAGGGGGAGAGTTCGGGCTCAATCGTGCTAGCGACGTTCCAAAGAACCGTAAAGTCGCTGGAGTGATTTTTGGCTCTTGCACTGCAGAAAAAGTCAGGTTGCAGCACCTGCCCAAAAATATATAGCACGGTGCAAAAAGCCACAAATTGCACGGCGCAAAGAGAACTTTTGTTTTCGCTTGAGTGAAATTTGAGCCCCTCACCTAGGATAAATCTTCTGCAGAAGCTTCTGTAAAGACCTGTAATACTAAATTTATGACATTTCAGTCAAAAATTTTGCTGATGACGTCTTCATAAAGAAGGATTTGGATGAAATCTCTAACAAGTCAACGATCATTGCCAAGCTCTTGAGGACCGTTGTTCCTGTAAGCAAGGAGTAATAGCGACTTTTTAACCATTGCTAAAAAATTTTTTGTTAATAAAATACTCTTCCGCATGAAATCTTTTTTTTTTCAATTTAGAGCCCTAGGGCGTTCCAGCCGTCTCAAGAGCAAATTCAACAAGAATTGACAGACCTACTGGAAGTCATCGGCAGGCAAAGGTTGGCTCTCATTGAAACCAACGACTATTTGCAGTCAAAAGTTGGGTACAATAAGGTAAAATTTACTGAATTTTTATTTTGAGGTTGTTATCGTTTTGATATTATTATTGTAGCATTAAAAGAAAAAATTTTTTAGGACGTGAACGACAAGATCCGCTATTTTGATGGGTTGTTGAATGGTGATTTTAAAAGAATTACAAGTAATGTTAACCTTTTTTTCAGCGTTATCTTACGATTTTACCATTCCGGGATTCCAGCGGCTGAAGGAGAAGTGTCAACATGTGGATGAAAGGCCTTATTCGTTGTTCAATGTGAGTAAAACTCTTTATTTTTTTCACAATGAAAATATCTACACTCCATTTCAAAATGATAGACACGCCTATAAAATCTGCAATTGCGGCGTCGACGTGCAGTTGACGGATACGAAATCTTTACAGATTGAAAGAGGAGGTTTGAAAACCTATACCAAAAAATTATTTTTCTTATTGCACTGCAATTGCACTTTGCACAAAAGATTTTCCAAATTTTGGGTGTTTCAAAAAGATAGACACGGTTGCTATTTTCGCTAAAAACTTGCGAGTATGTACCCTATAGGGCCTGAAATTATTAGTATGACTGTATTGCAACTGTCTGGACTTCACCGAGCTCAAAATGCCCAAATTTTTGTTCAATTTTCTCGGAATTGCACATATACTTCCATTTTTTGCAATCTGACCTGCATCTGTCAGAAGTCCACTTTCCATGGGTACAGACAGTGCAGAGGCGACCTATGGTATGTAATGGACTAGATCTAGTCAGTTTTCAGTGTTATGCAACAAAGAAATGCGTATAAATTGCAACAAAAACTGATTCCGCTGCGACATGGTCAGCTTTGAAGGCTACCCTACGTTTCGAAACAAGCTAGATGCGAAGAAAAACTTCATGAGTGGAATGTTTAGGTTCTTATAAAAACGTTTAGATCGGTAGCATGTGCAGCTTTGCTTCAGCGGGTCCGCAGAGCACCATTATTTTATGAATCTAAGCGAAATAGGCTTAAAAATGGGTCAAAAACGGCGTTTTGGAAACTTGACCTTTTCTGGCGTTGGTCCGACGGAACCTGGACATAAGGCTTATGTAATAACGTTTGTCTGTGGTTTGTCAAGATAGTTCAGAGCTTTTTGGGTTGTGCAAACCACAGGCACCCGCTGGAGAAGCTTTAAAAGTGACGACTATCGTTGCGAAATCAGTTTTCGTTGCAATTTCCACGCATTTTTTTGTTGCATACCAGTGAAAACTGACTGGATTTGGTCCATTACATACCACAGGTCGCATCTGCACTGCCTGTGCCCATGGAAAGTGGACTTCTGACAGATGCAGGCCAGATTGCACAAAATGGAAGTATGTGTGCAATTCCGGGAAAATTGCAAAAAAAATCGGGCGTTTTGAATTCAATAAAGTCCAGACAGTTGCAATATAGTCATACTAATAATTTCAGGCCCTATAGGGTACATACTCGCAAGTTTTTAGCGAAAATAGCAACCGTGTCTATCTTTTTGAAACACCCAAAATTTGGAAAATCTTTTGTGCAAAGTGCAATTGCAGTGCAACAAGAAAAATAATTTTTTGGTATAGGTTTTCAAACCTCCTCTTTCAATCTGTAAAGGTTTCGTATCCGTCAACTGCACGTCGACGCCGCAATTGCAGATTTTATAAGCGTGTCTATCATTTTGAAATGGAGTGTACAAGAATATTTTTAGCAAGTCCGAACAATGCTCTTGTCAGTTTGCCACTCTGATATAATCCAGGCCGAAAACGAAAGTAAGAATTTTGTGATGACTTTTGACGGGTAATAAAAAAATTGATCAGAAGTCTTTTTTCGCCTCCCGACTTTTCTGGTCGACGACATTTTGGGTCAAAATAAAATCGATCAATTCATGGTCTAGGACAGGCGGAGAGCCAAAAAAAAAGTTGCAGTAAGTGCCTACAAGAGCAGGCAAAGCTGAAGAAAGCTTGATGGAAGCTCGGTAAAGACCCAACTTAGACTTGGCGAAGATTTCAGTTTCGCGACAAAGATACAGTGGGGGACTTGATCCAGTGGCAAAAAACATGCCATTTTGCATCCAGGAAGTATCAAAAATGTGGCAAAATGCTTCCTTCTCCAAGTGAAAAAACTCCGATTTCAAAAGCGCGCCCGTTCTTTTTGTGAGGGAACCCTTCAACAGGGAGTTTTTTTTTCACTTGGAGAGGGAAGCATTTTGCCACATTTTTGATACCTCCCACAGCGTTCCGAACATTTTTTCCGCCGCCGATCGGTGTCGAAAAAAGGAAAAAATGAAAAGTAGTGCTTACAAGTCGGTGCATATTTGGCTAGCCACAATAGATGTAACTAAACTAAAAAGTGGTTGTTAGACTATAAGAGATTGCCATTCCACGTATACAAACTACATCATCATACCTTATGTTAATGTTGAGAAAATGATGATCGAAAATTATCAAAAATTCAACCTTCAGGTAAAAATAACTGTTCCTTCCAACCCTTAGGCACACAATTTTTTTTCTTCGATCGTGTGCAGAATTTCAAGAGCTACAACATAGACAGAATCAATAATTTTCCCTTAATCTTAGTTATGGTTGAAAAGGGCCTAATTTTGGCCGTTTTTGCACTTTTTTTTACTTATTTGCACTTCAAGATTAAAAAGTGAAGATATTCTATATAAAACGGATTGTCATGATCATTGTGGTCATCCATGCCAAATTTCAACTTTTTCTGACACTCCAGAGTCGTTGAATACGAACTTGAATATGGAACCCAAGTGTACTATTTCTGTTGAATAAAATCACGTTAAGCGCTCCAAAATCACTTCTTGAGCGAAAATATGTTGTATACATACACTCTGTGCATACTTTTTGTCATCAAGCCAAAATATATCTTTTTCATTTCGAAAGTTGAATTCAACAGGCAATTCTGACCAATGCCAAAGTGTGAGCTAGCAAACACTTACTGGAATTACCCGTAAAGCTGAGTTTGGCCTTTGTAATCGCGACCTAAGATTCATTGCGACCAGAAGTGCTGCAATTAATGCCAGCCAAGGATTTCATTACCGTTTTCTTACAAAGTTGAAGATACGAAGTTTCCATGTTGACGTTCGTATTCAACGACTCTGGAGTGTCAGAAAAAGTTGAAATTTGGCATGGATGACCACAATGATCATGACAATCCGTTTTATATAGAATATCTTCACTTTTTAATCTTGAAGTGCAAATAAGTAAAAAAAAGTGCAAAAACGGCCAAAATTAGGCCCTTTTCAACCATAACTAAGATTAAGGGAAAATTATTGATTCTGTCTATGTTGTAGCTCTTGAAATTCTGCACACGATCGAAGAAAAAAAATTGTGTGCCTAAGGGTTGGAAGGAACAGTTATTTTTACCTGAAGGTTGAATTTTTGATAATTTTCGATCATCATTTTCTCAACATTAACATAAGGTATGATGATGTAGTTTGTATACGTGGAATGGCAATCTCTTATAGTCTAACAACCACTTTTTAGTTTAGTTACATCTATTGTGGCTAGCCAAATATGCACCGACTTGTAAGCACTACTTTTCATTTTTTCCTTTTTTCGACACCGATCGGCGGCGGAAAAAATGTTCGGAACGCTATGCCTCCCGGATACAAAATGGTACATTTTATGCCACTGGATCAGGTCCCCCACTGTACAAGGTGAAAAAAATAAATTTTTTTTTGGAAACGTTACTCCTTGCAGTAGAAATAGGCATGAAACTTAGTATGCCAAAATCCGAAAAAAAACTGTCGTTTTTTGCCGACTTTTGACCTGAAAATCTCAGTCGTTTCTGCAAAGCGCTCTCTGCGAGTCTAGCATGTCTTATAAAGGAATGTTATAAATTTGTGCCTACAGTGAGGGGCCTGATCCAGTGGCAAAAAACGTACCATTTTGCCTTCAGGAAGTATCAAAAATGTGGCAAAATGCTTCTTTCTCCAAGTGAAAAATAAAAAAAACCGCGCCCGCTCTTTTGTGAGGGAAAGGGCGCGCCTTTCAAAACGAAGTTTTTTCACTTGGAGAGGGAAGCATTTTGCCACATTTTTGATGCTTCCCGGATGAAAAATTGTATGTTTTTTTGCCACTGGAATTTTTCAAATCCGAGCGTCGCACTTGGGTACTTTCTCTGTAAAATTTTCAGGCATTGGTTAGGTCTGGTATGGGAAGGGTAAATGTCGAATCTAGTGAGAATAATATCATTTTTTAACATTTTTTTACATTTAAACTGCCGTTCCAGAAATCAGAAAGACAGTCGACAACATCCACCGGCAAATTGTGCAGTATTTCCCGGAGAGCGCGGAAGAGCAGCGAATTGTCAACAAAATGTTGAGCGAAGGTATGTATGCATTACATACGTCGACTTTTTCGTCGGCCATGAACGTAGCTACAGTTGGTAAAAAGCTACAGAAGGTGTTTGCAGCTACGTTCATCAACAAGTGCTTCAGCTAACAAAAAATTTTTATTTCAGAACTAGGAGAAGCGGAGGACCCGATATTCTTCCTTGACTCCTTATTGAACGGTAAGCATCTCCAATCTCAAAATACAGTATGACAAAGCGCTCTTCAGACCTGTTGAACAACACATCGATGCTGAAGGGTGATTTTGTGGCGGCGATCAAGAAGTCGCGCGTCAATTCGGGATTCCGGCCGGGGTATGTTTGGACAAGCCTAAAAAACAACGGATTACAGTGGCGGACCTGATCCACTGGCAAAAAACGTATCATTTTGCATCCGGGAAGTATTAAAAATGCAGCAAAATACCTCCCTCTCCAAGTGAAACACTCCGATTTCAAAAGCGCGCCCACTCTTTTTGTGAGGATGCCCTTCAAAACAAGGTTTTTTAGCTGGAGAGGGAGGCATTTTGCCATATTTTTGAAACCTCCCGAATGCAAAATGGTACGTTTTTGCCACTGGATCAGGTCCCTCACTGTAATTACTCCATTGGCCGAGAACTCTATGAAAATTTGCTTTCAGTTGCATTTTGAAGTCGCTTGGAGTGGAATTGAAGTACGAGAGGTTCAAGTTTGCAAGAGAAGTCAACGTTTTCCGGCATGACTTGATCAAATTGGTACGTTCGACCCAAAATTTTGCATGTATAAATTTTTGGCCATTGGGAATCCAATCCTCCAAAAATTAAGTTTCTCAGATTACGGTAACAGTATACTGCAATTCGGTCGATAAAAATCGACGGCAACTTTTCTCCTAGGAGCATTCGGCAAGTAGAAAAAAACGGATTTCTGCTAAATTTTACTTGCTCTTTCATAATATCAAAGTCTCATTTGCGGATCCCACGGACAGTTGAGACCATTTCCTTGTGAGACTTTGGTAGGGGAAGGCTCACTTGTCTCAGCTCGATTATAAATTTAACATTTGGTGGTGGAACTGATCCAGTGGCAAAAAACGTGTCATTTTGCATCCGGGAAGTATTAAAAGTATAGCAAAATGCCTCCCTCTCCAAGTGAAACACTCCAATTTTTAAAGCGAGCCCTTCAAAACAGAGCCTTTTTAGTTAGAAAGGGAGGCATTTTGCCACATTTTTTTGATAATTCATGAATGCAAAATGTATATTTTTTGCCACTGGATTAGGTCCATGTAAGGAGAAATACTTTAGGTTGCGGATCACACAATATGCCTTGGTGCCCTTGGAACTCCAGGTAAACTTATTTACTTGCAACTAAAGAGTGTAATATCCGCATTTTAGAGAACAAGATGGCCGATGAAAGGAAACAACTGGCTGAGTTGGTCGATAAAATCGAAGAAAACGTCCTCCACTACAAGGAGTTGATGTTGGTGCGTTTTTTTTCATTTTTATACATTAAAATAAGGTTATAAACAATGATGATTTTGCAGGAGCGATTCTGGATTCACGGAATCTCAGAAGTGGACTATTCAGGTAAAGTTTTAACAAACTTTCAGCCGCTTTATCATAAATCATCATTTTCAGATGTAACGATAGATCGAGGGGACCTAAATAAAACCGCAGCGGACTTGAAAGCAAATATAGAGCGATATGGCAATGCTGACGTTCGATATTCAGTAATCTCCTATTTGAATCGACCCGAACAGGTTGGTTCGAGTGTCTCTTGATGACAGAGGAAGTACTCCGATTTTTAAGCCAAAAGATGACAAAAATGCAACACTTTTTTGCGACGTGTGGCACGAAAAGTTTCATGGCTATTTCTAACAGGGAAGTACTCCAAGTGCGACGCTCAGATTTTGAGGAAACTTGGCATATTTTTTTGACATGAAAAGTTTCATACTTGTTTCTACCGTAGAGGGTAATGATTCCACAAAAAATTAATTTTTTTCTTGCGAAACTGGCAAAGTTATGGCCAAAAAGTGTTTTTTTTTGTCTGACCGCTCTCCGCGTTTCGCGTACTTTCTCAAAGATCGTTGAATATTTCGGGGGCGCCTCCAAAGCGCGAGCTAAAACTTTCAGGTATTAATATGTCATCTATTCCCAATATACAGAATTTTAAAAAAATTTGAGCGTCGCACTTGGAGTACTTAGCTTTTGAATATAAAATTCATATTGCAAATATTGTTAGGAGCCACATTTTTTTCAGATCGGCCATCCCCCGTCAACCTTTAATCTTGATTGTCCACCAACCCGATGCTTCCTGGAGACCTTGGGAGGGGTTTCGTTTCTGGTGATCCGAAACCCGGCCAGCCAGGATCCACAGATTTACCGGCGAGCCAGGGAGTGGTATCAAAGAAATGAAGACGAAATTAGAAAACGGATCGAGTAAGTGAGAGATTGCACAGAAAAAAATCTCCCTTTTTTGGCTAAAAATATCAACGTGGATACTTTTTGATACCTTTTATATGTCTTATGGACACTTTTTGAGACCTTTTTTATATCTCATGGATATTGTTTGATACCTTTTGTGTGTCTCGTGGGTACTTTTTGATACCTTTTATATGCCTCATGGACACTTTTTGAGACCTTTTTTATGTCTCATGTATATTGTTTGATACCGTTTGTACGTCTCATGAATACTTTTTGAGACCTTTTGTATGCCTCATGAATACTTTTTGATACCTTTTCTATGTCTTGTGGATACTTTTTGATACCTTTTTAATGTCTCATGGATACTTTTTGCTACTTTTTGTATGTCTTATGGATACTTTTTGATACCTTCTGTATGTCTCATGGATACTTTTTGATCCCCAAACTTAACCAAACCCCATTTTGGCCATTTTCCTTTCTCCAATGTTAAAAATTTCAGTGTTCTTGTATGTATCATGGACACTTTTTGATACCTTTTGTATGTCTCATGGACACTTTTTGATCCCCAAACCTAACTAAATCCCATTTAGCCCTTTTCCTTTCTCCATTATTCAAAATTTCAGTGAAAAATCGACTCATTACTTTGCCTTCTCCATCGTGGACAACATTCAGTCCTCCGTTGACTTGAAATCCTCGCCATTTGCGGGTACTCTGCTCTTGAGATTCTATGGCTTCGGCAAAGTCGAGCTCCCAACAGGAATCGCGCTGGTGAATAGCAACTCCGTAGAATGCGTGTATTACGAATGGAACACGTTCTTCCCGAAGAAAGATGAGGTCATCAAGTTCTTTCTCATCGTATAAAATTGTACATTTCTTATGCGATAAATATCTCAAATCAACTTCAAAACGGCTGAAAAAGATTTCTTTTGAAATTCCCAAGCTCGTTTCAGACAAAATTTATGTAAATCTCTGAATAAACAAACAAATATTACTGTACATACCTAGTATAATATAAAAAATGTGATTACTCAACTCCTAACTTGTTCACCAGTATATTCTTGGCTCTATCGAAGTATCGAAGACGTGTTAATAGAGCTCGCGCGGTCAATGGTTCATTTTTATCGAACGCATTCTCGATTTGGATCAAAAGTTGCTCGATCTCACTATCAACGTGATCTGAATGTTTGCGGAGCTTCTTCTCATCCTCTTCGGCTTCGATTTCCTCGATAAACTCAAACATCTCGGCAGCAAAGTCTGGAGTTGTTGTATCGTCCGAATTTTCTGGAATTTTTTGAAAATTTTATATTATCCATGACGAAGTTGACCTAAACCTTCAAAGAAAATAAACTCAAAAATTACTCACCTTCTGTCAGAAGCTTCAACAGGTATTTTGCTCGCTCTCTGGGCGAACTCAACGTCTTGTAAGCCTGATTCAAATAGCTGGAATGCTGTTCGCTGATCTGCTTCTCCTTGTCCGATGCGGTTCCGAACTTATCTGGATGCACATGTGACTGTAATTTTCGGAAATAGTCTTTCAATTCCTTATCGTCCACTTTAAATCGTCGCTTTAGACCAAAATATGAGAAAAAGTCGATCTTGGGATGGAGTGGTTGAATGACATTACACTTGTGGCAGAAGAGTTTGTGATGATCATGGTGTTCCGAACAGTTCCAACACTGAAATCTGTAAAAATTTCACTATCGAAGTCCGATTTTATATATTAGTTTGACAAAAAACGGAACTTCTATATTCTCCATGACGGGCCTCGATAAAAATTTTCATAACTTTGTGGTATCGTATTCAAAAAGGCTGACAATTCTTCAGCAGCAAAACTAAGTCATAATAAAGCAACTCCATAATAAGATTTTGTTCTATTCGCATTTTGTGCCCTCCACAATTGGAGCTATCTAAACCAAGGACCTAGACCAGAAAAAAATAAAAACTGGAGAGGTCAGCTTAAACAAACGTTAAAAAAACATCTCCCGATATTCTATTCAATTGAAAGGACTAGAAAAATCGTTGTCCAGCGAAAGAAAAAATGTTATCCACTTGTTTATCCGAGTTTATACCTAAAAACCAAGAGAAATTCTAGAAAATCTTACCGTTGAATTGTCGAGAACCTCACCACGTCTATCACCCTTCCTCTAGCACCAAGAAAACTTCGTATCATGGCAGTAATCGAATGATAAACAAGGTAAATCAACTAGTTCACAATCAAAAAAAAAAAAAAATAAAAACATTTTTGTTGACATTTCGTTTGCGGGAAATCTGTTTTTTAAAACCAATATTTTTTGTTTTTTCGCAAGTTGAACCAAAAGTATACTTGTACTTTACTTTTAGCAGGCATTTGGTTGTAATCGTACCCGAGGGATTTGCTTTGTCCTTTTGACGTCATGAGTAATATAACGAACCGATTTATTTCAGGTTTCTAGCCATGGAAGACGATGCATTCAACGCCTTGGCCTATGATGAGGATTTCATGATCGAAGAGTAAGATTTCCTGCTTTTATTGTTCCTGTTTAGGCTGTATTAACCAATACGTATATCACAAGGGTCGTTTTATATTTATGATACCTAAAAATTTTTCCAGAGACCCCGGTGCTTTTGATGAAGAAGCAGAAATGTATTTGGCGGAACAAAGAGCTCATGAGCCTCAGAATCCACAGCAAAATCCTCCAAATGCCGACGATTTGTTTGCAGACGACCTAGATCTTAGTGTAGATCCATTTGCTGCTCCTCCAGCACCGCCAAGTGATGCCGAACTTCGGGAGAAACGACGAAAGGAGCAAGAGAACTTGCCATTAGGAGAACATCCATTAGGTACGGCTTTTTACTGTAGTATTTATTGGAAGTTTAGATTGGTTTATTCGATCGGACCTTGATCCAGCAGCGGCCAAGAAGAAGAAACGTGAGGATCTGGATTTGAAAACCACCAAATTGGCCGATCGTATTGCTCAAGAAAGACGTCGACGATCGTTGAAGACATTTGGACAGAATAACGACGAGAATCAGGTTTACAAGCCAAAGTACTTGAAGGAGATACCTGATGGTGAAGATAAGAAATATATCAAAATCTCCGATCCAGATGGTCTTGAAGAGGGCTTTCTAAAGTTGGAGAGTCTCAGTCTAGACGATTGGATGACTGAAAAGGTCAGGAAAATGATTAGCAAGAGTATACAAGACATTGGACGATCAAGGCCACAAGTTCAAGGTAAAAAATTGATGTTTTTGGGGTTGGCTTTATAATTTTGAGTAAGAATTTTCTATTTTAGCTCAGCCTCCACCAGCTACGACTCAGGATAACACACAGAATACGCAAATTAGATCAAATTTGACTGCCAATACCACCTTGAATTCAACAACAAATCCGGATTCTACTGTGAACCGAACTCATTTCATCGATGGTGTTGATCTCAGTCAGTTTGGTCTCAATGAATCCGAACTTCTGAACGCCGACGACACTGATTTTGATATTGATTTGAGCCAGTCCACAATGAACTTGCTGGCACAGACAACGATTGATATTCCTCAATCGTCGACTGCAAATCCCAGTGTTGAAACGTCTCTATGGACGACAAAATACGAGCCAAAGTCTTATTTTGATCTCCTCAGCGAAGACAGTCAGAATAAAACGGTGTTGGCGTGGTTGAAATTGTGGGATAGGTATGTCTTCAACAAGAAGGTGAAAATTGATGGACTGCTCGATGAATACCACATGAAAATGCTTGAAGTAGAAGAAGAAAGACCTAATCTGCCGAAAATGAAGGTAAAATGTTTGAATTTTTGATTGGAAATGGGGATAATAGAGAAAGTTCCTATTTTTTACCTTATTTTAGGTAAATTTGACGTTTTTTGTGTCCTAAAGTTCAAGAGACTAATATTTCCGGTCATTTTTGGGTGGTTTAAATACTATTCTTCCTAGATAATCCTATTTTGCCTTTTCATTTTATCGTTTTTCATCTATTTTGTCGTATTTTAGATGCTCCTTCTCCATGGTCCAAGTGGATGTGGAAAATCGACTCTCGCCAAAGTCTGTGCAGCCACAGCGGGCTACGAACCGTTCTTTGTGAACCTAGGGTAAGCTTATTTTATTATTTTTCTGATACTTTAGGGCTTTTCCCGGCTAAAAATTAGAGAACGTAAAAAAATTCCCGCCTCAATTCCCTTCTCTCTCTCCAGCTGAAGAAATAAAAGTGGAAAGAAAAGAACCGGGAGTGTCTCCCATGTGGTCTAGTGGTTAGGATTCGTGGCTTTCACCCACGCGGCCCGGGTTCGATTCCCGGCATGGGAAGTAAACTTTTTGGAGGTTTTCCAGACTATTTTTTGATGGTAAATGGATGAATTTAAATGTAAAAAAAATTTGAATACTGTGTTTATTTGTTTTTCATCGAATTTTTGTCCAATCCGGAGCTTTTTTGTTGATTTTTAAGTGAAAATATGCCAAATTCGGATCTTTTTTCTGGATTTTTGACTGAAAATATGGCAATGAAGACAAAAATTGAAGTTAATTGGACTCAATTGTGTTTCAGTGAGATCACCTCTCTTGCCCACTTGAAATCCCTGATCTATGAGCGATCCGGCAACATCTCCATGGATCATTACACACGAACCGACCGCCCGAAGGTGGCCAAGCCGATTTGTTTTATAATCGAAGGCTTGGATGGAGCATCCGGTGACTTTGTCAAATTTCTGACAACTTATGTAACCGAAAAGAAGAAGAAACTTGTCAGAAGACCGATGATTGTCTCCTGTAATAACGCCTTCTCGAACGCCATAAAGACTTTGAGGTCGGCCGCGCTCGTCGTGAAATGTAGTGGACTGAACAAGGAGAGAGCTGTGAAGAGATTGATCAAGGTAATAAAGGAGATTTTGAAAATGAAACAGAAGGTTTGGCAAAGGGTGCTACAGTGACCTGATCCAGTGGCAAAAAATGCACCATTTTGCATCCGGGAAGCATCAAAAATGTGGCAAAATACCTCACTTGTCAGCTGAAAAAACTCCGATTCTAAAAGGCGCGTGAAAAATCGGAGTTTTTTTTTGGAGAGGGAGGCATTTTGCCGCATTTTTGATACTTCCCGGATGCAAAATGCTACGTTTTTTGCCACCGAATCAGGTCCGTCACTGCAATTGGAATGTTTTCGTTTAGATCTGCGAAGATGAAGGGCTCACAATGAAACGGTTTACCATCGTCCAGCTCTTCGAGCAGTGCAGAGGAGACCTGCGACTGACGTTGAACAATCTTCAGTTCCTAACCAGCACTTCAAGAGATGGAAGTGCAGTTTCGGTAAGAAGAAACTAATTTGATTTAAATTTTTGCTTTTTTCAGGCGGAATGCAGCAGTAGAATCGAAGAATTCAGCATTTTCGATGCGATGGACGCAATTTTGACCACGAATTATCATCTGGATGCGTAAGTGGACATTTTATACGATGAAAGTTTTTTTGATGGGCTTGTGGAAATTGAATAGAATTTCGATTTTTGATTGGAGTGCATGGTATAATTTGGATTTTTTGCAGTCGGGGCCATATTAAATCGCCTAAGCAACGCGCCGAAACTATTCATCAAGTCCTGAGCCGAAGAGATGATTTGGATCGCGTTTACACGGCCGTATTTTATAATGCCCCGAGTGTTTTCAAGTTGAAAATGTTCCAGGTGAGAGCTTTGCGGATTGTTTTTTGCCGGTGGGGACATTTTATACGATGAAAAATCTCTGTGATTTGTTGTTGGCTTTTTTGTCGTATAAAATGTCCCCCGGTTACAGTTTTTATTGCAGAGTGATCTGTGATGTTTTTATAATGCGATCTTTGTTTTAGCGCTTGAAAATTTGCCGGTCCCTGATTTTCGTGAACGAAATTAACCGATTTGTCCAACGATCCCAAAACTTCTCCCTGATGAGGTATTCGGTCGCCGCTGCAATGCAAATCCATTTTGCAGTTGCCACTCCGAGCACTACCAAGCATACATACAGTCTTAGCTTTATGGTAAACCCACAATTTCATCGTTTTGAAGGCTTAAAATTCGATTTTTAGGCATTTTCCGACAAACAAAAGGAAAACCGGGAGATTCTGTCGTCGTTGGAGCAAAATCAACGCCCTGACAATAGAAGAACCAGAAACACATTACTTTTACACATTCTCCCTTATGTGTGCTCCATTATAAACATCCCATTGAAGAGCCAAAACTCGAATATGCTGAGCAATGCAGATAAGGAAGCAGTGGGAAGAGTGGCGGATATTATGGTCGCGCTGGGCATTGGATTCGCTCAGAAGTTGGATCAAGGCCTCTTGAACTTGGCTTTAGACCCGTAGGTTGTTTTTTGTATATGTTGGCGACATTTTATACGATCAAATGTGTCAGGGAAGGCAGGATATGTTTTGTCGTATAACTTGTCGCTTTTGTAACATTATGAATGAGAAATACCGTTACTTGGTAGAGTATGACTGTAACTTCCACAAAACGGATGTTTTAAATTTTAGAAGACATTTTATGCGATGAAATTTATCCGGGAAGGCCGGATATGTTTTGGCGTATAACTTGTCGTTTTTGGAACACTACGAATGATGAATATTTTTATTTGGTAGGGTATGACTGTGACTTACATAAGGCGGCTGTTTTATATTTTTAGAAGACATTTTATACGATAAAACGTATCCGGAAAATTGGAAAATGTTTCATCGTATAATTTGTCCGCCGAGGATCAGAACTTTAAAATGGGTGTAGATTTCGAATGTATGATCTATAGAAGGGTGTAATTGTTATTTTCAGACCTGTCGATCAACTGGTTTGCTTCCATTACACAAGTAAACAAGCTAAAATGACCTCAACCCTTATGAAAATCCTCAACAATGAAGTCCGCCAACGGCGAATCCGAGCTTCCGCCGACGAGCATGTAACAATAGTCAATAAGGAAGTGGCGGAACCAAATAAAGAGGCCCCAAAAACTCTTTATGCCATCATGGGGGGAAAAGACCAAAAACGCCGATCCACCGAAAATCAAGGATCGATATTCGATTCCATCACTGATTCCGGCTTCACATATGCTCAGGGATCTTCTCAGGCCATCAGACGCATAATCAGAAACAAGAATTTTATCAATCTTGAAAATTTTTAATCTAATTTTTTTTGGAAATTTTTTGATTTCTATTATAATATACGTTGTAATATATACTAATAATAATGACACAACGCTTAGAATCAACGGTATATTTTTTCATAGTTTATCTGAGATGATCGGACAATTTTTTCGCCAGATTCTTCAAAATGATCACCTAAAGTAAGATTGGAGCGGAGATGTAGGATAAGAGCACAATTCAAACGGAAATTTGAGGGATTCAGGAAGGGTTTTGGTCGGGTCAACAGGCTGATATCTTTTTTCCTCAATTTGATCTTGAAAAAAATGCGTTTGGATCTGCGAAAGTGAAGCTGTTAAAAATCGCACTGTGCGGATTTCAAAACTGCACAGTGCGGTTCTCGGAGGTGTCCAGAAAAAAAAGATTCGAAAAAATCATAATTTTATAAAGTCTTTAGTCCTAGCAAGTCATTTTCGATTCAATTATTTGAAGCCTGTATTCAAAAATCAACCATTTATGCGATAAAACCTTTCCGAATCCCAAGCAAGTCGCTCGAAATTCCAAAATATTTATCAAAACAAGAGACACGTTTCGAAAAATTAAAGTGCAAATTGGGAGACTTGGAGTAGGAGTTGGTGTTGGTGTGGGGGGTGTGTACCGTGACAGGAGAGGTGCCTTTCCGACGTCTATATTATAGTACCCATAAGCGGGAGGATCATGGAGAGGAAGACGAAGAATAGAGGGGAAGAAACAAAAATAGGTTAACCTTGAAAAAACAAAACAATAACAGTGGGATTGGGTTGCGAGAATCTGTGGGTAATATCGGGGGGAATATCCGGTTGTGAGGCTCAGCGCGCCTTTCCGGCCGGCTGGCTCGCGTTGCTGAGGGGTTTGCGGAAGTTGCGGTTGTCGCGGCGCCCAACGTTGTTCCAGCCACCGTTGCTGCCGCCGTTCTGCGCGGCCGCGCCGCCTCCCTGGCGATTGTTGAAGTTGCGAGGACCACTGGAGGAGCGCGGAGTCTCGGAGATCTGGACGTGCTCCTTGAAGTTCCAGGCGGGGATCTCGATTTGAAGCTGCAGGCCGGGCTTTCCAGTGTTCTAAAATCGAACAAGATATTAGATTCTGAGGAAAAATTTTTGCTATTAGTCAAACGCTAACATTTCCTGCAGAAATCTCCAAATATCCCTAATTTTTCACAGGAAATTATCTAAACATCTCTCGGATTGGACGGCCTTTTATTAACCATTATTGCTGCATTCCATCGCATCATTACCTAAAAGCCAACAAAATCAAATAAAAAAGTCTTACCCTGTCCACCAGATCCAAGGCGGTCTTCACCGAGCATTCTTCCTTGAACTCGACGTATCCATTCACCCACTTGTCAGACCCAAAAGCGCTCACTTTTTCGATCAGGCCAAGGACTGAAAATAAAATTCATTTTTAATGTATATTGTACTAGACAAAAGCTCTCCAAATTTTATACTTACATTCAAAAGCCTGTCTAATCACTTGTTCCAGCTCCTGTTGAGTTGTGTTTTGACGCCGTCTCAGATAACTGAAGTGCAATCGTCTCGGATTCTTCTCAAATTTATCGTCTCGGCGCTGTTGTTGGCGTTCTCCCTGCGGCTGCTGAGGCTTGGGGCCCTTTGCGGCTGGGAATCCGACGGGTTTTGGTTGTTCGACAGGCTTCGTCGGTGGGGGAAGACCGTTGTTCTTGACCTCGCCACTAACCAACTTGGCCCAGGTGGTGGGTCCGCTGGGCTTTGGCGGGGCCTGGGGTTGTTCTTGGATGGGTTTGGGTGGAGATCGAGGGCTGGGTGGTTGGACAGCGGCTTCAACCGGCTTCGGATGACTACCATTCTGGTAGGGCTCGGCGTGCGGATGGGCGTTCACTGGAGCCGTCGGCAACGGAGCCGCCGGCTTCACAGGGCTCACTTGAGGCTCCGCCGCCTCCACGGGCTTGCTGATTCCATTCTGCAGAGATCTGTCCAACAACTTCTGCACCTCATTCCGATGCTTCAACGGCTGCGCGGGCTTGGTTTTCCCGTCGTCAAACAGATTGTTGACCAAATCCACAACGTCCGAATGGATGTAGTAGGAGCGGGGACCACGTGGGACCAGCAGAACGTTGTGGATCACCGGGATCTTCTCGACGCTCGCAGTGGTGGTCAATTCAGCTCCGACTTGAAGGAAGACCGAGTTGTGGTACGAGTACACTGAGTTAATCTTGTAGATCTTCACGTTGGTCAGCGTAGAACGCTCCAATTCAGCGCGAATATTCTGGAATTGGAAAAAAATATATTACACTAGACCTCAACGTCAAGAAACATATTTTTTGCAGCCATTTTTGCTTGGTTTTTCCCCTAAAATTGCAAACAAAACAAGAAAGAACTCACGTCAAGTCCGCTGATGTCTTCACCGCCAAATCTCTTGATGGTCGAGTCCTCGGAATAACACTTCAACACATTTGGAACACCGTTCAACAACTCCTTGTAATAGAACTGAATAAACTGAGTGGCGACCACCTTGGAATCGACCTGCTCATAGATCTTGTTGTTCTCCATTGAGATAAGCTGAACTTTCACCTGAAAACAAAACAAACCATTACCTAAACAACAAGGTACAAACTCAAAACTCTGGCAAGGTCAACGATAAAATGGCGCTCCGTCAGAATGTGGGAGTAATTCGCTGCTCCTTCAACTTGCTCCGTGGTAGTCATGGAGACGGGGACAGGTAATTACCATGGGAAAAACAGAAAACTTATCTTGATAATGGCATGGACAAAATCAGGTGGCAAACAAATAAAAACAAGATGGGGAGCGCGGAGATTGTATGCAGAGGACAAACAATTAGCAAAGAAGCTAACCGAAGGAAATTCATTGAGAAAAACATCGGAAAATTTTATTTTTTGACATTATTTTAGATCGAAAGTGCAGGACAAAATTAAGTCGTAATTTATAATTTTACCCAATATAACTCGTCAATCCAACAATTTCAGGACTTGCCTCTTTACCTAAAACAATCACCGTAAACATGAAAACCCTCAAACCCGAAGATTTTCGCAAAATTCCCTTCAGCTGTCTAAAACAACAAAAAACGCATTTCGAAGGCAACAATCGGAAATCCTTCGCCTCGACGATTTCAAAACTGTTTTGTAAGACATAATAAGGCTATTCAACGGCCACTCCCCGTTCCCCGCCCGTCCGCCGCGAAGAAGGCGCCCAGACTTATATTATCCATGAGTCCCGAAGTAAAAATAGCCGCAGAAAATTCGTTTGCCCTCTGGGGAACACAGGGAATGTTGCAAAACACTCGCGAATTACACCAAACCGGGATTCTTCATTATTCCGGACCGGCGGAAAAAATCGCCGCTCTTCAGCACCCATTTGTTTTCGTGGCGGGACCCTGCCGGGAATAGGATGGGTGAGAAAACGTTCGAATTTTAGAGGTCAAAACGGGTTGAAGGACAGATGGCGGCAATTTTTGGACCGGTTGCGAGATGAAGAAGGCATTGGGAAAGGATTGGACGCAAAATGTTTTTGTACTTTATATTGGTTTGTACAGATGTCAATGAATGAAAAAATCATGTAAATGTTTGTCATAGCAAACACCCAAATTCTTCCCGGATTCCAAAACAATCTCTGCGGTGTTTGCAAAAAGGACGATGCTGTTTTATCAGTTGTGAAATGTCTTATCAATACTTGTTATTGTTGCAACAAACAGTACAACATCAATTTTTAAGCGTGGAAACATCATCCTAGAAAATCAAAACATAACAAATTTCATTTCTTATAGAAGAGTGTTGTTGTTTGGAGGTTCAGTTTTAAATTTGTCACTTGAAGCACATAAAATGTCATGCTATAGTGGTCGTTGTGGAATTTCGGGTCCCGACTTTTCGCGTCGGCCAATATGATTTTTGATATCAACGTCATCGATTCTAGTCCGTCCGGAACGTCGACGGATTGATTTTTGGTGTTTGCACCGTGCGAAAGAAGGCAGAGTGCGAGCGACAGCCCAAAAAATCCTATTGCACGGTTCAAAAAGTCAAAAATTGCACAGTGCAAAGTGAACTTTTGTTTTCGCACAGTGCGTGTCGCCGATTTCAGTATGGTAACTTTCCGGACGGACTAGTATAATATCTTGGGTTTTAATACAGGAAATAATGCAGGAAAAATAACATGTTCTAGTTTCATAAATTGTCGTTTTCTACAATTGCCTTTTTGGCGCAACGACTTTTCGGGTCAGACGACGGGTCAACGATACTGTGGATCGCATCGGTTCGTCGTTGTATGCATGGGGAGGCTTGGAGAAGGCTTAGTTAGTAGAAATATTTAACAAGACTGGTCTGGTTCTAGGATAGCTTATCATCTATTTTGAGGTATTTTACATGTACCCACATCAATAAAATGTAGATAAAGTTTACGGATCTTCGTTTTTCGCCGCAAATTTTGCTTTTTTGTATGTTACAATAACTCAGGGTAAAGAAAATTAGCGTTAGTGATAGTTAGAATTAGAAAAAAAGTGAGCATATTGAAAGTCTTCGCCAAGTCTCCGCCGAGCCTTCGCCGAGCGTCCAATGGCTTTGCCAGGCCTCGTAGGCACTTCCAACAACCTTTTTTTGGGTGTCCACCAGAGATCGCGACGGCTCCGGAGCCGGCTCTTGGCTCCGAGCCGGGAGCCAGAGCTGGAAATTTTGGATGTGGCTCCCGAGCCCAAAGTCGGAGCCAGGCTTCTCAGCGTTCAGAAAGGTAAAATTTTCATGATCTTGTTAAACCAAATTGCTTGAAAAATACTGGAAAGGACGTGTTGCGTACGACTTGGCTGCAAAAACGAAAAAAATGGGTGTGCGATCCCTGGCACTAATAATTTTCGTTTTTGGAAAAATTTTTTTAAAAAAAATTTGCACGCTAGCCAGGATTCGAAGCCGGAGACCTTTATAAATTTTGTACGGGAGCCGCAAATTTGGCCTCGACCAGAGATTGCCACGGTCAAAATTTTGGCTCCGGCTCTTAGCTCCCAGAGCTCGGAGCCAAGAGCCGGCTCCGGAGCCGTGGCAATCTCTGGCCTCGACTCCGGCTCTGGGAGCTAAGAGCCTTAGCCGAAATTGTGGTCGTGGCAATCTCTGGTGTCCACCTGCCCTACTCCCCGTATCGATCGATTTTGTGTCGACCGGAACTGTCGTCCACCCGAAAAATCTGTACGCATCTTGGCAAACCTTGAACCAAACTATGTCCATATGATTGTGAGTTGACAAATTACCCAACTCGCGGTGAAACACGAGCTGTCTTACTGCAAAGGTTCCTGCTCAAAATCTAAATCCTCTTGCGGTCATTCGAGAGGGGTCAGCAGCGCTCCTCCTCTTGCGCTCCTCTCGCAAAAGGAGCGCTAAATAATTATTGAGCATTGATTTATTTTTTGGTGGTGGGTTTGCTTGGAAACGATGGCGTTCGACCCAAATGCAGCCAATTTTATGGCCGGGCAATTTGTAAACTTCTATTTCAAAACGCTGTATACTGCTCCGGCTACGGTGTTGGCTTGCTACAACGAGGAGTCGACTCTGCAGCGGTTCGAACGTGCGCCAGTAATTGGAAGGGAGGTAAGAAAAAACTGTTTTTTCGATCTTATTATGGGGTTTTGGAAAAGATGACTTTTCATTTCCAGAACATCAAGTCTGAGCTCGAAATCTTTCCATTCGATCGCCCAACAATCCATCAGTACGATGTAGTGGACCAATCCGAAAATTCCCTCACAATCAGAGTCCATTTGACCACACAGCTCAAAGGCCAAGCTCCTCGCGAAGCTGTCCAGACATTCCATGTTGTATTCAAAAGTCCCTCGGCTGATTTGGGACCCTCAACATTACACATCGCCGCCGACAAGTTGGAAGATGCCCAGGGTTCGTTTGACAATTCATGCCAACTTGCGAGACTGTCAATTTCGAATGTTGAAGTACCTCAAACTAGCGACAATCCGACTTCTGAACCAAGTTCAAGCTTTAGTCAACCGACTGTGGAAAGAGACACGTATCGATGTATAGCTTATAAGGAGTATTGATCAAGTGTAATGTCATTTTTGGCGAAATTGTCAATTCATTGTACATAAACGAATGTCTTATTAACATTACTGTCTTGTAGCTCTCGAGGAACGCTAAACTACTCAATACACCACTTGATCGTATACATAAAAAACCTATTACAATATCCGAAAAGCCGACAAAATTCATCTTTAACAACTTTATTTCTCCGACAAAAGACGATACAACTTTAACAATGCTACATCCTCCACAACTTTAACAACACAACACCTTCACGCCGTTCCCGACGGCCACCTCACCAATTAAAACAACTCTAGAGGGGTTAGAGAGAAGAGACAAATAAGAGCCGACGAGTGTAGAACACGTCGGCTGTAGTTAATAAGTGTTTGGGAGATATAAAAAATCAAGTAGCGAAACGGCGCGTTCTCAGCAACCACTAAACCAAATCAAAATAAAACTAAAATAAGATCAAGTCTTATGTTAGAGTTAATTATGACAAGATCAAGCGGCCCAACTACAGATTATGGAGTCAAAAATAGAGGGAGAACTAAAAGACAAGGTGTAAAAAAACAGAGGGATCCATCTTATTACACGTCACAAATAGTTGAGTGGGGTTCCAGATACGGCAAACGAATGCAAATCACGATCGAGATCATAAACCAATAACGCACCAAAAACAATGATTTTACATTCGAAGGCCGATCAGAAATGGAGAAATAAGGAAGAAAATATTTTTTAAAAAAATAAAAAAGGAGACAACAAAATAATATGGGGAAGAATCGATTAACAAAGTACTGAGGGCTGTCGACATCCTCCGCTCTTCCATAGCTGTTTAAGCGCGAGCGCTGGGGCAGTCACGGGAGACATGACCGGACTGCTGGCAGTTGTAGCAACGACGGCCGGACTGTCCATCGGGGCATTCGCGGGAGAAGTGGCCGAAGCCTCCGCAGTTGTAGCACTTGGATCCTTGGCCCCTTCCGCTGTCGCGGTTGTCACGTCCTCCTTGGTCTGAAACAGAAATTTAGAACGTATACTGGCAATAGGGCCCCTTGTAACACTAACTTAATATCAAGACATCTAACCTAATATCTCCTTATATCACTCAACCTTCTTGAAACCAACAAAAAACCTACCGTTTGAAGCCTCGGTACATTCGCGAGCGAAATGTCCGAATCCACCACAGTTGTAGCACTTGGAGCCGCCACCGCCATATCCACCTTGTTGGCGTCCACCACCGCTGCGACGAGCCTCAGTACAGTCACGGCTCATGTGTCCGGTCTGACCACAGTTGTAGCATTCTGAAAAAAAAATTATATTAAACTTGAAAAATATATCACTCCACACTAATCAAATTCCAATCAATCCACTAAAATTTCATCTCAATAACCAATAAAGATCCTAACGATACTCTCCATCTATATTACCTAGTACAAGGTTTATGAAAAATAGTTTTCAACCCTACGGAGAAGACTTGCCCGAAGTTGTTTACGAGCCAAGTCTTCTACTCTACTATAAACACTGACTAATCACTACTCTCTTGCCTAAAAACCAACTCAGCTAATCGAAAACAACTTACCGCCGCCACCACGTCCACCACCACCGCGCTGTTCTTGACCATCAGAGTTGGGGCATTCGCGGGCAAAGTGTCCCGATTCATGACAACGATAACATTCTCCAGGCATGTTGGTTGGACTGCTATTGATTGAAGAGCCTGCACACTGCAAAAACGAGGAGGACACGCCACTGAAAATAACAAGTTTGAATAAAAAAAGTAAATTCACTGGGAATAACGAATTTGAATAAAAAAAAAGTAAATTATTGCCTAAAAAATGCAAAACCGCTCGAACCCGGATATAAAAAGGGAAAATTGAATATTCAAGTCTAGTAAACATCAAAATTGAGCTATTTTTCGGGTAAAAACAAAACCCTCTCGAACAACAATCGATAACACTACAGGCTTTCAGAAACAGTACTAATTAATATCTAAAATAATATAAAACAGTAACTATACGGAAAACCCAGTGCATTTCCACATAGCAACAGAAAAAGGCACGCATTCCGATCACACCGCTTGCGAAAAAATCCCAAATTTATTACGATCTTGTTGTGGGCCTGGTTCCGACGCGAAAAGTTCAGGGAACCGCGGGAATTTCAAATTTCTGATTACAAAGATTTTTTATTTTTTTTCGTCCGAAAAAATTATTTTTCGCTGTGAATTTCTAAGTTTCTTGTTGCAACTCTGGTTGAAGATCGTGTAGAATGGTAGCGGAAGTGAATCTGGAGAAGCGTGAGGCCATCCCCGGCATCGGATATTATCCACATGAGCCAATTTCAACTGGTGTAAGTTTTTTTGGACGTTTTTAGTAGTGTAATAGCTTGTAAAATTTATTTCTTGAATTTTAGACCACTCTGATCGCTTGTGAATTTGAAGGCGGCGTTGTTGTTGGTACTGATGCTCGAACGAGTGCTGGGTAAGGAATTTTATTTGTTGTTTGTTCTGTTTCTAGGCACTGGTCAAGATCTGGTATAGAATAGGCGAAGGTATTTATGCAGTTCGACGAATATTTTATTTAGAGCAGTAGTTTGATCTGCTGGAACCACTCCTTGCTTTTTGTGGTGGTTTACAATTTTTTTGGGACTAAGCAAAATAAATTGTTGTTAGAATTCGTCCAGAATTGATAGAGAATGCGGTTTTGTCAAAGTTTTCTAAAGTGCGAGGAGGGAATGTACATTTTTAGCTGTCATGTCGTAGAATTCTTCTTTTTGTGTCGTTTACATGCCTGAATTTTAGTTAAAAAATTTCAATTCATGGTGATCTCCACCAGAGATTTTATATCAAAACTTGATTTTATTTTTTCAGAAGCTTCATTGCCTCTCGAGTTACCGATAAGATTACTCCGATCAACTCTCATCTTGTTGTCTGTCGATCTGGAAGCGCTGCCGATACCCAGGCTATTGCTGACATTGCCAAGTATCACATCGAGCTTTATGGGTATGTTTTTCGAGTTTTTTTGATTTTCTTGGCTTTTAGAACTTCAAAAGACAAGGATTATTTGTTCTTTTTGAAGATTGGATTGATATTTTTGTTATTCGTGACATAAATCTTCCAATTTTAGAACTATGGAGAATGAGCCCGTGACTGTCTACCGATCGACTCAAATCTTCCGAAAATACCTCTATGACTATCGCGATCAGCTCTCAGCCAGTGTGATTGTCGCCGGATGGGATGAATCAGAAGGAGGACAGATCTATGCCATTCCTTTGGGCGGTTTTACCACACGACAAAGTTTTACTGCTAGTGGATCTGGTAGTACTTTTGTTACAGGATTTATGGACAAGTCATGGAAGAAGGGAATGACTTTGGACGAGGTTAAGAATGTATGTTTGAAGGATTTATATTGTTTTAGGGGGATTTTTGATGGGTTTAGATGGTCGTACGATAAATTTCAGATTTTGATTTTATTTTTTATATTATTTTAGATATCAAATGTTCAAGTTTGATGTAATTCTTTCTAAAATATTATTTTCAGCTTGTGATCACCTCGGTTGGTCTTGCCATGTATCGTGACGGCTCCTCCGGTGGTGTGATTCGTCTAGCCATCATCGACAAAACCGGTACCAAACGAGAACTTTACCGTCCAGACGCCTCTCCCATCTTCCCACAATTCGAGGTCCCCAAGGTCTATCCCGCCTTCCCCAAGCACATTGAACAACACCCAGTGGAGTAGTAACGACTCATCTATCTAAAACGGATGTTATTCTGTATAAGTTAAAATAAATATTCAATTATTTTTGGAATTTTGATCCAATTTTTGTTCCTTTTTGAAATTTTTTGTGGCTTTTTTGTTTACACTTCCGTTAAAGTAGTCATAATTGTAATATAACTGAATTCCCCACCTCCGGACGGTCTCTCTTTGTTCCCTCTGCTCCGGTTTTTTCGTCAAGAACCCAATTGAAACGAAAAAAATATTCGAAATTGGGTTACGTCAAGCAGTTTTTTGAGCTCATCGAGAAGGTGAGCGAGAGCCGGTCTTGAAAATGCTACTTTTTGTGTTTTGAGACAATTTTAATTCATTTCGAAGACGAAAAGTTTGGATTTGTTGTCATGGATAATATAATGGTCTCATTATTTTCTCAGACTTTCGTGGTCCTTTTGTAAAATACGTTCTGTACAACTTTCCGGATTTCATTGAAGAAAAAATGGATCAAAATAATCCCGTTTTAGGGCATGATGACATCTTCCATTCAACTAGTGTCATCATTGTTAATCTTAGCGATAGTGTCATCGCAAGAGCCCACATACTACCAGAAACTTCAGGAGCTCTTCCAAAAATCCGATCTGAACAGGGACGCTTATTTGGAGCGCTCAGAATTGGGAGTTTTTGTTCGTCATGCGATTACCGTGGCATTCCCACCAAGTCAACTGGATGGGGATACGATCGAAACGGCGGTGATTTTGGCCGACACAATGTTTGATGAGGCCGATTCGAACAATCTGGGGCAATTGAGCTTCAAAGGTAATCAATTTTGGAACCCTTTTACAGGATTTTTGGGGTACCCTTCAATCGGAGCGGGTTTCATTTGGGGCTCGGGCCAATATTTATATCTAATGTTGCAAAATTGGTTGACTAGCTGACCAAGGGGGTTACTCTGTGTTCACAGCGTAAGAGAGGGCGCTCATGACCAAGCTAGCGATCTAGGTCGTGACCAAGGCCAAGCTGGTTGCCCAAAATTACCCGAAAATGGTCTCAATGCTTGACTATGATGGTCAAGACACTTTTAGGTCAGATAGTCACCAAGCTCGCAACCTAGGTCGTGTGTTAGGTCACGATTAATCCCCAAAATCCTCTAAAAATAATGCTACTAGTTGTTCCAGACGGTTTTGGCACTTCAGTTAGGTCAGGTCACAACCACACTGACTATGGTCATGACATAAATGAAGTGCCAAAAACCGTCTGGACCGACTAGTAACATTATTTTCAGAGGATTTTGGACATTAATCGTGACCTAGCCCACGACCGGTCGCGAGCTTGGTGAAGACATGACCTAAAAGTGTCTTGAACATCATAGTCAAGCATTCAGACCTTTTTCGGGTAATTTTGGGCAACCACCTTGACCTTGGTCACGGCCTAGATCGCAAGCTTGGTCATGCCTATCCTACACTGTGAATGAACACAAAGTAACCCCTTTGACCAGCTAGTCAGCCACTTTTGCAACATTGGATATAAATATTGACCCGATACCCCATGTGCTCCAAATGAAAGGTTGCGGATTTTTGTCTAGTATAATATAGCCGATTTGAAAGTCGTCGCTTTGAGGCTAAAATGGTCTAACAGAAAGATATCGGGGCTTCTTAACTAAGAAATGACATCTGTCGTATTTTAGGATCAATGCTGTTTCGCTCCCCAGCCAATATTTTCGGAGACAAGGTGATCAACATGTTGGTGGATCTGATAATGCAAGTGGACTCGTTAGAAGACGACGAATCCCGGATCAACAGCTCATTCTAGATGCCCTATTAAATATAACTTGTTTCCCAATTCCTATTTATTAAAATCTCATTTTTTTTCAATTTTGTAAAAGTTTTCATCAAAAAAAACTAACAATAAGGTTAGAAGCGCGTATTTTACATCGTATTTGAGACTATTTAGATAAATATTTCATCATAAAACGATTTATCAAACACTTGGAAGCAGTAATGAAAGTATAATTAAATTTTGGGATCAGTAAACCGTTCCAGATCCCTATACATCCAAATTTGCAATCAAAAACATGTTTATCTTCTCAAAAAATTTTGAAACTCGAATTTCAGAATGAATTCGGCCTTGAAACGGCCATCATTCGAGTGACCGGTAAATGACTCATCACGTGACAGCTGCGCGACGGCATTTCATCAGCGAAAAACAACAGCACACATGCTGAAAGAAGCATTGACCAGCTGATGCCTAGTGTAAGGTTTTTTCGTTGAAAAAATCTAATTTGGAGGGCCTATTTTCGAAATACTTCTTACTAACCATTATAACGCAACCAGTTTGCACACTTTTTGTGGGCCGTCTCTTCACAAAGCTCAAAATTTTCATGCGCCCCACTCGCGAGCGCGTCCCACCACGAAAACAAGCAGCCGCAAAGGAAATGCTTCGAAAAAATATTTTTTTCTTTTGGCGCGAAAATTCCTTCGCTCACGGCGGTTTCAACAAAGGGAAAAAATTTCCTTCGTTTGGTCTCGTTTTTGAAGCCTGGCGGCAGCTCGCGGAGCGGAAAATGGCGATTTTACGACCTTTTTAGTCATAACTTTGTTGGCAAGGGTCGAATTAAAAATCGACCAGAGATTAAGAAAGAGCATTACTTTACTGATATAATGACATAAAGATTTCGAAAATTGGTTGGATTTAGAGGTATGTTGTTTAAAGCCGAAAAAATCGTATTTTACAACTGGTGTAACATGCGTATACGGTGAAATTTGGAAAAACTGATAGCCTAGTTACAGAGCTAAGCTCCTGACAAAACGAACAACACCTTAAATGTAAAAAACGGTGGGATATACTAGGAGTTATAGTCTTTTGAAAAACACTAAAAAATCAGAGGTTTGAAAAATGTCACTAAAACTACAGTATCTTTTTAATGAGACCTTTAATCAAAAATCGACCAGAGATTTAGAAACTTAATCAAACAGCGATTGTTTATACATAAAAAATTTGGATCATCGACTTCGATTTTGAACCATTGTTTAAAGCGAAAGATACGGTAGTCATGACATCGGCGGAGAGAAATCGCAGTAAAATCGTAGGAATTGTTGGCAACCACAAAATTTGCATAAAATAAAGTTGATACGTGAACGCTTTTGACGTTCTTAATTGTACTTAACCTGTAGATTACATTTTTCTTGTTTTATGTTACACTTGAGACAGCTGAACTAACTCAACATGATTTGTATAGGACTCTCTAGAATATTCAGTAATACGAATTCTAAAAAATTTATTTGTATTGTAAGACTATGAGGTTACAGTAGGCATACCATAAATGAGTTCTAAAGACCTCTTCTTCCACTTAAAACGCACTTCGCGAGCTGTGGAAGGGGGTCTGCCCTAGAAATTGACCCCCACTTTCTTTTGTCTTAACTGATGACATGTAGGATGCTAAAGAACTTGGTGATTTTTTTTCGAAAAATTCGTCATCATGACCGAGATATGACGTATTTATTGAATTTCGCATAATGTGATATATTGTACTGATTTATTGCCGAAATATCTCAGAACTGAGTATATATACGTTATTGGCCATGCTGAACAACTTTGTAATTGACCCGAAGTTTGTCAGGTTACTGTAACATACCGTAACGCCAATGCTCAATCAAAAAATCTCGATTTTCTCGATTTTTTTCAATAATTTTCGTGGATTTTTTTTTCATTTTTGGAATCAGCGCCGTGAAAAAACTTTCCCATAAACGGAATTCACACAGGCAAAATGTTTGCACGCGTCAGGTAGCTGTAAAGCTCTCCTTAATAATGAAGATGAAGTGTAACTTCCAGGGCAATCTTATTACGGACTCTCTTGGCTCAGTGTGTTCGTTGATCTTTTTTAGTCTAGTAGCAAAGGAACGTCGACGTGCTTTTTATAAGCGGTGAAACATCGCGAACGTAATTATGGAATCCGAAGATTATGATCATCACGGTTGAACCCATACCTCATATTTTTATTTAATTCGATATAATTATGAATAGTTCACCGATTTAGGCCCGTTTATATACCGTGTTACACGCAAATAAATTGCTTTTCTTTGTTTTGCAGTGTAACTCGAAAAACTTCTATCGTATAACTTGGTCCCGCAATTTGCACGCGTTTCATTTCTTTCTTTTCGAAAAGTTTTTTTCGCCCATTCGAAGGGTTGCTTTGAAACCGCCGTGTCGCTCTGTCGAGAGTCTTGTGCCTGATTCGTGGTTTTTTCAGTCTTTTTCGGGGATGATTTTTATCTTTTTGTATTTCAGCAAGTACAAGGTACGTATTCCCAGTATTTTCAGGTTTTTTTCAAGAGTTTTTGCACTATTTTGGTCAGAAATTTTGTTTTTGTCAAAAAGATGTTAGCAGAATATTATTTTAGATTGTTTTGATGTCAGAAGAGCTCGAAAACTCTTGTTTTGTTGTTGTTTTAGGTAATACAGAGTTTGCGGAATTTTTCGATACTATGATTTATTGATTTTGAAAAAATTTGACTGCCAAAAATATATTATTTATCTTATTTATGACCATCAGATCATTTTTTAGTTTTTTTCGCCTAGATGTTTTAGTTTTGGGTTGCTTTTGATTCAGGTTAGATAGGAGAGTAATTATTTAATTAATTTAGGTAACTTTTGGCCGTAAACTTATTTATTTATTCAACCTTTCCGGTCAAAAAATTTTGCTTGAACGAAATATTGTTTTAGGCAATTTTGCTGTTGAAACTTTGCCTTTTCGTGGTTTTATCAGTTGGTTTTGCTGTATATAGTTTTGAGTTTACATTTATTTTCAGAGAGAAGACGGTTTAGATTTCTATTGAAAGCGCTGTTGTACATAAAAGGATATAGTTTATGGTGGTTATTTGGTGCACTACAGTCCTGGTCGTGCTTCTAGTTTGGTTGGTATTGAAACTCCTAATTTTTGGGTAAGTTTTTGATTTGTTTGTTGTTGATTTAGGATAGCGGGGTAAAATACGGGAGGGTCTCAGATGAGGGGAAGACTTGACTCAGGTTTGAGCAAGTGTTTCTCTAATCGGGTATTTGGGGATCTGATGAGATCTATATGAAGGTGTATTTTCGGACAATTAGTAAGGAGGATATAGAGATGTTATGTAGTGTAATAGACGTGTAAATTTTTCCATCCTTCCTTGTTATGGTACCCATTGACCTTGTACTGGCTTTCCATTTGGGTTTGAAGAATCTCAGCAGGAAGTTGACAACGGAATCTTGATTTGAATTTCACTTTTGTTCGCCTAGAAGATGCGTATTGACGCGTGAACGTCTTTCAAGGTCATAATTGGTTTCCATTTTCTCAGATTTCGGTATTTATGTTTGAATTATAGGCTTTTGACTTACATAGTGGCGCTAGATTCGTATTCTTGAAGCATTTGTCCATTGCTCTCTGTCGAGACAAAAGATTTCGTTATCATCAGGTAATTATCGATAAAACAATCCGTCATTCAAATTTTTATGGTCTTTTTCGCACGAAAGCTGGCGGTTATTGATAAGAAACCCCATTCAAATAATTCAAATAGCCATTGGCTATAACTCGAAAAATGTTTTCAAATTTGAAATTCAAAAAATTAGGGCATTTCTCACCTGACCTCCCTCGTAAACAACGTAATCCATTCCGAGGTTAATGGGATAAAACGTTCGCTGCCTCCCTTATGTGGTTTTTATAAACCTCCGACTTATTTGTTGCACGATTTCCCAGGGCAATCGGTGATCCGATCAGAAGTTAATGGTCCCGCATTTCGGAGGAGGTGTTATTCATGAAGAAAGTTTGAAATAGTATGGATTGGATGGTTTGCAAAGCTCAGAGGCTTGTTTCTTCGTGTAAATCTGGTTAGTGGTCGTATTTGTGTTCGTGTCTTGAGCGGATGAGACATTTATTTTGTTGGGTTTACGGTTTAAAATCGCCGAGTCCCACTTGAAGACCGCTGTTTTAGTACTTTGTTGTTGTGTCTCCGCAATCGCCTCTTAATTCCTCGATCTGACCCTGCTCTCATTATTATTTCAGCCCATCCGACAATTATTCAGCCCATCCGACTTTCTCATATTTGTCCGCGGTTCCACTCGCCGTTCGTCCTTTGTGATGGACTTGAAATCGAAGCGAGTGGAGGTCGAAATCTGTCACCTCGGATCGAAAACAGCACCCCAACAAACAAAGAACGGGCCCTTACGCGAGTCCGAATTTTGGCGCGAACTTTGCGAACTCTCGGCCTGGACCGGGCAGGCAGGGGTCGGCGACGTTTTACGCGCCATTTCCCTGTGACTCAGCTGGTTTCCAGCGAGTTTTTCTGCACGCCGGAACGCCCCCTGCCATCTGCCTATGTTGTGTAGCCTATTTGTCTTCATGTTTTTATCTTTGTGGCGTTGGTTTCAAGCCGATGAGGATTTTGGGATGTTGCAGTGACATGCTTGATCCAGTGGCAAAAAATGTACCATTTTGCATCCGGGGAGTATCAAAAAATGTAGCAAAATGCTTCCCTCTTCAAGTGAAAAAACCGATTTCAAAAGCGGTTATGAGGGCGCGCCTTTTCCCTCACGAAAAGAGCGGAAATTGGAGTTTTTTCACTTGGAGAGGGAAGTATTTTACTACATTTTTTGATACTTCCCGGATGCAAAATGGTACGTTTTTTGCCACTGGATCAAGTCCGCCACTGTAACGTCCCAAAATCCTCATCGGCTTGAAACCGACGCCACAAAGATAAAAACATGAAGACAAATAGGCTACACAACATAGGCATATGGCAGGGGGCTTTCCACTGTATACTAGGCAAAGGATTTTGTCTAGTATACAGAAATTCGTGGCCACTCTGAGATTTGAAGGTATCGGCGGCATTTAGCTACGGATGGAATTCTTATCACGTGAAGAATTGCATAATCGCCGTAAAAGTTATCCTCAACACTTGCGCTCGTTGCGTTGCACGGGAAATTGCGCATCATGTCTGCCATCTTTTGTCTGCTTTACTTGTAGCGTCCATATTTGTCGAGAACCCTCATTGTGTGGTAAATCCGCTTGCTAGTGCCGGTGTTACGAGTTTTTTTTGGGTCCGCATCTAGTCAAAGGAATATTTTTATTGGGGGTTTTTGAAGATTTTCGTCAAAAATTTTTTGTTTTTGTTGGATTTTTTATGATTTTTTTTTTGGTTTTCCGCTTGTCCTTGGCATCGGTCGGTCGTGAAATGATGTATCTTTGGCATGAAAGTTTGTGTTAAGTTTAATTTTGGTGAAATTTTATGTGAAATTTAAAAAATTTGGGTAAATCTGATTAGCGTGACTTTACTATGTAGTTATTCCGATTGTAAGACCTCTATTACTAACTGTTACAGTATTTCAGTGAATCGGACCATGAGCGGTCCCCTCGCTCAGCACCGCAGCCCTCAGGCGTTCGAGCAAACGTCGACGAAATCGCCGCTCTCACCTAGCTGTGCCATGCAGAGGTTTCTCATAGAGCCGCCGCTGAGCACAAGGAAAGAAGCGGTAAGTTGGTGGGATTGGTTTTTATTTGGAACTAGGGGATTTTGAATGTTTTTCCCATGAGATTTTTGATTTATTTTTGATGGGTTGTTACGAAATTTAGATTTTTTGGACATTATAATCCATTTTATGTTGGCTAGAAAACATGATACACCAATGAAATTTTCTTTTCAGCTCAAAAGAACGCCTCGGCTAGTGAAATCGGCCAGTCGACTAACGAAGACCCAACCTCGAACAGAACGGACCCTAGAGACACTGGTAATGAAGTACCCTCATGCTCGAATAGTCTCCGCCGAGCTGACGGACGCTCAACTCGACCCACTCTACGATCCAACCCTTCCCATAACCTACCTGGAACAAGTGTATGAGAAGGTAAAAACGGTGGGACACGGCTCCTTCGGCACCGTGTATCATGTAAAACACAAGGTGAGCGGGGAAGAATCGGCCGTCAAATGCTTGACCATCCCTTACCGAGGCATCAGAGACCGGGAAGAGAAACTCCGAGAGGTGTTGCTGCACGAGAAATCGCACAATCACGAGAATATTTTGAAACTGAAAATGGCATGGGAGGAATGGGATCAACTGTACATAATGACCGAACTCTGCCAATTCACCATGGCCAAAGCGATTGAACTGTCGGATGGAGACGTCCCAGAGCCGAGGGTGTGGGATGCACTCATTGATATGGCGAATGTAAGCGATTGAGAGGGATTTAGAAAAGAAGGGAAGAGTTGACTCGGGGTCAAGTCTTCTCTTTCTCTGGAAATGGTGTTTGTAATGGATTTATGAACATGAATACGGCTGCAAATTTCTAATTCAACGTTTTTTAGGCTCTGCATCACATGCATTCGAACAATTTGATCCACAACGACATCAAACCGGAGAATGTTTTCATCAACGAAAATGGGATTTGCAAACTTGGCGATTTCGGAATGGCCGTCGACCTGAACAGCGAAACACCCGAGAATGGAGCCAAAGAAGGCGACAGTCAGTATCTGGCAGCGGAGGTGCTCACTGGAATACCGACGTTTGCGTCGGATATATTCTCCTTGGGCCTGACCATACTCCAGCTGGCAACGGATCTGTACCCACCGAATGGCGGCACAGAACGATGGCATGACTTGAGGAATCTGGAAATCGATGAACACATCACGGCAGGTGAGATTTGAGGGCTTTTTTGAGGCAGTTTGAAGGAAGGGAAGAGTTGACTCAAGAGTCAAGTGTTGCTTTTTTGCTTTTGGTGAAAATAGAGATTTGGAGATGGGTGGTTAGAGAAAACGGGTGGTAGAAAGAAGAATAGAGGTTGTATGGGGATTTTGAACGAGTAGAATTCATTTATATGTTGTTTTAGGTATATCGAAGGAGCTCCGGGACCTCTTGTTCCGAATGATGGACCCCGACCCAAGCAAACGCCCAACAGCTGAAGAGATGTTAACATCCAAGTCGATAACCTCAAGAACCGCCTTCCGAACACTACACCGGTTTTGCACAAGATGGGTAAGATATTTTTTTTTTTTTTATTTTTTTGCTACTTCAATTTTTCGATTTTTCACAGTTTTTGTTTTAGCAATCAAAGCTGAACCGAGTAGCTCAAATGATTGGCCTCGTGTCGGCGAACGCCTCCACATCCGACTCCCAACCCGCCGGCCTTCATACCCCACCTCAATGCCAGGGATCAGCTCATCTGTCCCAATTGGCCAACATCAGCAGCGATTTCAACCGCAATTTCGATGATGATGAGGACATCTTGGCGACAGTCACCCCGGAAGACCAAGAACGAATGCGAATGATCGCCAAGGAATGGGAAATGGCCCATTCAATTACACCGCCCAGATCAGCCAAGAGCCTGGGAATCAGGAGCCCAAAGTCCCTGCGAAAACGACTGGCCAGCATGAGGACCTCATTATCAGACCGTCTGAATGCCATGGAACCCGAGGAACCCTCCAAACGAGATCATCGACCACCAATCTTGGAGTTCGATTAAGCGATTGTTATTAGTCATGTAAGTTAATGTCGGATGAATAAATTTTATTTATTTTTTTGGGATTGAAAGCTAGAAATAGTTGGGAATGCGGTAGGTATCGTTTTAGGAAGGTTGGGTGGAGAATTAGCCGCGAGGGGGAGACTTGACCCAAATTCCAGATTTTGAGTCAAGTCTTTCTTTTTGCGGAAAAGATAGGATTTTCAAACAAAAGTGGGATTGTAACAAGGAAAAGGGGATTTTGAATACTTTTTGGGGCTTTTTATCACTTTTATTTGTTGATGTTATACTAAGTTTGACCGTTTTTCAGATGAACGATTTTCGCACCGTGCACCCGCGATTAGCGTTTGCAGCATCGATATTAACGCCCATGTTATATAGTACCCCGACCTACTCCGATTATCATTACCCCGTCGTTATAATTGTATTGTTAACCCTCTTCCTACTATCGTCACAGTTACCGCGTATGTATGTCGCTAACGATGATTTATTTTATAGAATTTGGTTGGAATTCGTTGCAATTTTCCGCAAGTTTTTAACGCTCCCAGATTGTTAACTCTCCTCTATTAAGTATTTTTGTTGCGCGGTATCTAAAAAGTGTATATTTTGACTCGAAATTTTAGGCCCTTCCCATTCGTCGGATCGCCCCCTCCATCCGAAGTGTAATTTTGTCTAATACCCCTTGTTCTTCAGTCTTTGAGACTTTGTTTGCAAAGTTTCTAGAATATTATTATCATAAACCTTATTGAATCAAGTTGGAAATTTATTTTTTTAAATTTTGGACGGGCTTTTGGGATTCGGGATTTTTTGTTTCTGCACTGTGCGGGAATTGCCCCAGGCGATTGAAGGTGAAATCAAGTCATAAGCAGTCAAGCCCGATCGAATCATCCCGTTTTCTGATAAACTACGGCGAAAATTGACTGTGTGTTCGCTTAGCGCAGTGGCAGTAGGTTGAATTTTGAATCAAAAAGTTGCGGGTTCGATCCCGGCTGAAAGAAGATGAATTTTGGCATTTTTTGGATGAATTTTCCAAGAATTTTTGGCCCGCCTAGGAAGAATCTACGGTGTGCTCACTTAGCGCAGTGGCAGTAAGTTGAATTTTGAATCAAAAAGTTGCGGGTTCGATTCCGGCTGGATGAAGATGAGGTTTGGCCATTTTTTGGATGGACTTTCCATTCTTCTGCGTTGTATACCATCTAGAAGAAGGTATTACTTCGCCTTCTGCTGCTCAACGAATGTTCTGGAATGTTAAAAAATAATTTACAATGGAATAATCAAAAAAAGTCGATTGATCTCCGCCATAACTCGGCAATTACACCCACTTCCGCTTGTCGCTTGACGGTCTGTTGGATTTGAATAAACTATCCGGTCCCGTCAAAAAAGTGCAGTTTTTGTGTTTCATTTTATGTTGTGCAATCCACCACCCACTTGCAGTCCATTCGTATTCCGGTTGGGTGGGGGGAGATTATCGGGATTACCGTCACCGGCGGCGCAATCGAGGTGCGCGTGAAATGGACGGTGAGATTGATTGCTCGTCCGTGTTTGTTGTTGTTTATGAGCGCGGGCAGATCGTATTTTAGTTAAGGAGTGATGGATTTGAAGAATAAAACGTTTGGAAAATCGACTGGTCGATAAATTTTTGGGTAAAATTTTACATTTTAGGGTGTTTAATGTAGTTAGAGGTCGTCAGATGGCCAACTGGAGCTTTTTGTTGTCTGTGTCGACATAGTGTAGTGGTAGTGGGTCAGTAAAAAAAATTGACGAAAGTTCGATTACGGTTGGACGAAAATCATAGAAATTTAATTATGACGCTCTGTAAGAACTCCTAGGAGCTTACTAAATATTATAGGGGATTAGTGTTGGTCTAGACCACTAAAATCATCAAATTTCCAAAAAATCCCAGTTTGGACAAAAAAATTTCAATGTCTTTTTTCAGTTTTTTTGAAAGTTTTGTGATATATAATGCCTTTAACAGGCCTTAGTATACTTGTTCAAACTTAAATCTAAAAGGTCTATATTTTTAAAATTTTCCTTTAGACCAGTTGTCTAGTATAATATCGCCAAACCGATTATAATTCTGAAAAACCGCTACTTCTGTCGAAATCCCATTTTGACACATAAATGACGCTACTGGACCCATCAATTGCGCATTGCAAACGGGCCGTTTTCACCGCAGGGGCTTTGTTCGGGTGGGAAAAAGTTGGCGAGCGAGTCCCGTTCCAGTTGATTCGGCACCGAAATCACTTTTCACGCCTAATTCCGCGCTCATAATAACTCCATACAACTTTTATATTACTGTCAAAAAACGAGGAGTGAGGGATTTTCCCACTGTACGTTTTCCTTTTCATTGCAAAGTAAAAGTTTTTGCTGTAACTGTAATTTGATGACTTTAGAGTGTATTTTCTTATTGAAAATGGTTGTTAAAACATAGGAAGAAGTGTATAAAAGCGTTCTTATTAGTTCATTTGTGATATTTTTGAAAGTTCTGGGCCATGTGTCCGTATGGTCTAGAGGTAGTGAGATAAAGTCGGTAATTTGTTGCAAGTTCGATCCCGCCTGGCCGATATTATAAATTTTTTTAAAAATTCGTCTGTTATAAAGTACGAACACCCACTTCAAACTTTCACAACCCTACATCTCCCTATTCTCTCTGATAAACCCACTAAATCATCAAATTTTAAAATTTTCACAATTCAACTACCGTAATCCACAAAATTTTAATCCGTCAAAATAACAAAATTTCCGGCAATTTTACGTCACAACAACACTGTTTACAATGTTTTCTCGACCTCAGTGTCCTCTCCCTTCGTCTACAGTCGGGGGAGAGGATGATTATTCCGGTTAACGGGTCCCGTTTCCGCATCCGGTTGGAGCTTCTGCCGAGGCTCGTCTTCCATTCAGGCGGCGGTGGTGCTATTTGATGCATGATGTGATTTGTAAAGCGAATTTTTGATCCATTCGCCTTTAGCGGGAGTTTTCGCAATTTTTTTCGGATTTTTGAGCTAGGAACGGGAAAGGGATGAGCTAGAGTAATATTTTTCGAGATGTTCCTCTCTCCTTAACCTTTATTCTGGTCTAAATGCTCAATTTGTAAAATTTTCGAATCGAATTTTTGGCTTCCTCCATTGGGATTCGAACTGGGCTTACATTTTTTCCGAACTCACAACCAGTTGCGCGAGAGGGACACATAGGTTTGATCAACTCGAAAACAATTTGTCATACTATTTTACCCTCTTTCATATGTTCTAAACCTTTCTGGATGTCTGAGTGCCCTCAAAACATCTAAAAAATCACAAATTTCCCCTTCGATTTCCAATTTTTTGTTTCTTTCTAACAAGGGAATGAATGGTCCAAACTTCCCCCAGCCTTTGGGAAAATGACTAGTACAGGTGAATAGAGAAGGTCAACTTTGGTAAAAAAGAAATTTTCCAGCTGCGGAATAAGCACAGGCGACGAGAAAAATCGACCGGGCTTGTTCCACAGCTGGAAAATTACTCTTTTTTCCAAAATCCATCTGTACTAGTCATTTCCCCAAAATCTGGGGTTAGTTCGGACCATTCCCTTGTTAGAAAGAAACAAAAAATAAGGAATCGAAGGAGAAATTTGAGATTTTTTAGATGTTTTGAGAGCACTCAGACATCTGGAAAGGTGTAGAACTTTAAAATTTTCCCAAACGCTGAGGCTATTCCCCTGTAAAAAGAGACAAAACTTCCCATAGCACTACTACTTTTAGCATGACTATTACGTTCTCCCCTCCTCATCCTTTTGTTTTCCTCTGCTTTTTCGAGATTCAGCATCAGTTTTGTTGGTATATAGTGCGAATCTCCACAGCGACCGGGCGGGAGACCGCGGGGGTTGTCCGGGGCCGGAATTTTATCTCGTTCAGAGCTTGTATAGTTGTTTTTCAACATTTGTTGGCCCTTCGACAATTCGTATGGTTTGGTTGCGTAGTTTGAAGGAGTTTCGAAATATTCGAAAATTTTTCGGGAAATTTTGGGTTAAACGAAGATTGGTAAAATAGGGTGTGTTTGGGAGTATAAGATGCAGATATTCGTCCGCTGGAATCTGTAGGTATTAAAATCACTGATCGCAATGAAACATGATCAAAAAAATCAAGCCGGAATCGAACCCCCGTCGAATTCGATAAAAATTTCGTAGCCCCTTCTCCCAGTAGCCCTATGTACAGTGGCGGGCTTGAACCAGTGGCAAAAAACGTACCATTTGCACTCGGCAAGTATCAAAAAATGTAGCAAAATGCCTCCCTCATTTTTCCAAGATTGTGCGCTTTTGAAATTTCACTTGGAGAGGGAGGTATTTTGCTACATTTTTTGATAATTCCCGGATGCAAAATGGTACGTTTTTTGCCACTGGATCAAGTCCGTCACCTTACATAGTGCTTCTAGGAAAGGGGCTGCGAAATTTTTGTCGAATTCGGCGGGGGTTCGATTCAGCCTTGATTTTTTGATCATGTTTCATCGCTAACAGTGATTTTAATACCTACAGATTCCAGCGGACGAATCTCTGCATCTTATACTCCCAAACACACCCTATTTTACCATGAGATCTTCGTCTAACCCAAAATTCCCACAAAAAATTGTAGCACATCGCTTTACTTTTTGGATTTCGGAGAACGCTGGATATAGATAAGACATTATTTTGCGAACCTCTAGAGACTGCATCGTTTCGAACAAAGCTTGCAAAACCCGGCAGTAAGCAAAGTAAAAGAGAAATAAAAACCTTCAAAATTTTAACCTTATCTTTAAGATTTGACTGGATAATAATCTATTCTGATCTTATTTACCTCCCCTTATCTTATTTACAATCTAAACCACCAAAATTACCGTCCAAATCACCTAATTTGTCATCAATATTCACCATTATCTCCGAAAGTCTGATAAAATCTCCATATTCCGCAAAATCTCGGATAACCCATCCCATTTCGCGCACCTGCGAACCGTATAAATACCGAAGCTTATCTGCACTGTACCCAACCTTGGATTCCGCAGCGAAATTTTAACCTTTCTCCATCCCTCGGCGCGGCTCCATTATTAATAATAGGGGGGTCTGATTTGTATCCTGGAAAAGCCAGCGCGGTAAGGAGGAGAAAATTGCCGCCGCAAGGAAGGGGCTACTGCTTTGGTTGGTGCTTGGGAAACCTTTTGTAACCTCTGCGGCAGAGGTGAGCGGATTTTGCGTTACCGGTGAAAGGTCAAATGAGATCAGATTTGGGGGGTTTGGGATGGATTTTTTGAAGATTCTAGGGCTTCAGTATATGCGAAAAGTTGATCAAATTCTATTCACTCAGAATGGACAGAATTTTGACTTGCTTTTTCTAGCAAATGCCAATTGTTATCCTAACCATAGCTTTGTCTTTTTAAACCAATATTCCTGCTTCTCCGCCCCGTTTTTGACCTGATAATATTAAAACACAAAAGCCTTATCGTATTTTATTCGAAAGTGATGTCATAATATTTTTCTTTTTTCTATCCAGGATCGAACTTGCGACCTTTGCCATACTAGGCCAACTCAAATCCAGTTACGCCATTCAGGAATATTTCCCTAAAATTTCGAGATTCGATTTTTAATTCCATTGCGATAATTCTACACTACAGTGGGAGAACCTGATCCAGTGGCAAAAACCGTACCATTTTGCATCCGGGAGGTATCAAAAATGTGGCAAAAAGCTTCCCTCTCCAAGTGAAAAAACTCCTATTTGAAACGCCGCCCTTTCAGAACGAAGTTTTTTCACTTGGAGAGGGAAGCATTTTGCCACATTTTTTGATACCTCCCGGATGCAAAATGGTACGTTTTTGCCACTGGATCAGGTCCCTCACTTTATTTTATTACTGTAATTTACTACGTTTTTCTTCCGAAAACCCCAATTTTTCTTACTCCTTTGAAATTTTGCAATTGTTTTGAAGTTCGCGGATATCAACGTATTTTACCCACACATTTTTTTCCTTTTTAGTTCCACCTTATGGACAATCTAATGTTCCTCAAGATCCCCAAACTGTTGGTGGTGGCTTTACTGGCAATCTGGCCCACAATCCACACATGTCCTCCGCAACCGGGTGGAGGGATCGGCGGCTTTATCTCCAGTCAAGATCCTGGTAAGTTGCCAGACAGAGCCATTTTATACGATGAAACATGTCTCGTGTGAAAAAACATGTTTCATCGTATGAAATGTCGCCGAATAGAGTATATTGGCTCTTAACCTGCGTGAGAGCCCTCTTCGACCTTGATTTCGCTCGCCAAAAAACTGGATATCGAATACAATGAAGGAGGAGAATCGGGGCGAATTTTTTCGAATTGTCCGCAGGGGAAATTACCCTTTCACGCGCGCCTCCTCTTCTGGACCGACCTTGACGTGAGGTACGAAGACGTCAGGTGCAATAATCTCTTTGGGATGACCTTTAATTACTTCACTCGCAGGAAAAGTGTCAAAAAATAGAAAAAAGTTGCAAAAAGAATTAAAAATCAAAAACTAATCTCAAAGGAAAATTTTGACAGTATTATTGTTGCACATATTACCTAAAAACTATGTAAATTCAAGTCCTATATGGGTTTACAAAAATTCTTTACATTTTGTTCAAGCGGGATCGAACCTGCGACTTCTGGAAGCAAGTTCACTACCGGCTGCGCCATAGGAAAACAGTGTCCCTTTTGGCTCGAAATTACATCCCAATTACTTTTTGGCTTCCGTACCACTTATATTTTATTGACAGCTTCATTTTCGACTAATTATTTTTCTTATTTTAGCCCACGTGAATGCCCGATGTTCCGACCTAATATTGTACCCGGTAAACGCCGTTGATCAGTCAGATCAGTATCGGTAAGCGGTTTCAGAACTTCACAGAGAATTTTGGAGTTACTAGAGACCCAAAATCTTGGAATAAAGTGATTTACAGTGACGGACCCGGTCCAGTGGCAAAAACGGACCATTTTGGATCCGGAAGCATCAAAAATGTGGCAAAATGCTTCCCTCTCCAAGTGAAAAAACTTCGTTTTGAAGGGCTCCCTCACAAAAAGAGTGGGTGCGCTTTTGAAATCGGAGTTTTTTTCCCTTAGAGAGGGAAGCATTTTGCCACATTTTTGATACTTCCCGGATGAAAAATGGTATGTTTTTTGCCACTGGATCAGGTCCGTCACTGTAAATCATTTTATTCTAACATTTTGTATGAAATAATTTTAGCTTCGACTATTCCGATGTGGCCTTTGGAAACACCCACGCCCAAGGCGCGACGGTCGCCATCACGTGCACAGCAAACGGACAGCCCGCAACGGTGGAAGGTTTCGATCAGGTAAGCTTTTATGGCATTTGATCTACTGGTTTTTACTTTTTCATCTTATTCATGACATTAGTACCCCTCCATTTTAAACCTCTTTTCGAAATGATTTCATATTTTTTTGCCAATAACTGATACAGTTGGAGTTATTGGTCACTTTTTCGGTTATTTTTTCTTCCCTTCCCGCTCGGTTCTTGTGCTATATAACAACAAAGGAAGTTACTATAACAACGAGTGACCACGATTTTTTTTTGGGCTTTGCGAATACTTTTAGAGACTAAAATAGTAAAAGTGACCATAACAACTCATATCGTTGGTGTTTTTTTATGTTTCGCAATAAAAATCGCTATGGCGACACTTTATACGAAGAAAGTGTTTCGGAATTTCGAACCGAACTTTTCGTGTAAAAAGTTGTTGTGAAAAGCAAAATAACACTTTTTGAGCAAATTGAAACCTATATATGCACCATCAAACAAAAATTTTTCGTAAAGAGACATTTTATACGATAAAAAAGCTTTGTGATTGCATGAGCATAATTGATCGTATAAAATGTCACACAGATTAGAAACTGCTTTTACATAGCGTACTTTTTACTTATGGCACATCTACATACTTGTATTTTATATTTTAGCCCAATTTTATACGATCAAAAGTATTTTTAAAAGCAAAAAATTTTTCATCGTATAAAACGTCCACTTTCAAATTTTCGACAAATACTTCTAATATTCGCTAAATTTCAGTCCCGATCGTCCATTCAGTCCTCGCCCAGTTTGCTGGCCATGTGCACGAACGTTGGCGGGAGTCAATACACTTGGACAGTTCTGGGCCGGATCCTTCAATTCGTCGATTGTCGCTACTAAATCGTAACTCCAATTACTGTCCTCGAGAATCTCAGCCCTTTCCAAGGAGGTTTTGTACAATCAAAAAACTTGTTTCATGACAATTTCACGCTTTTTCCCACTTTTCACAGGTTACTGTATTGTGATATCTTTGTGTTTTCTAGTTAGCTTAAATAATTTACTGCCCTTTCCCGTCTATTCTTTCAAAATTTTCGATAAATCGAGTGTTTTTTTGTGTCAAATAGTCCGATTAGTGTAAAAATAAATAAAAATTTTAAAAATATTAGGTTGATTCAAAAGTTTTTCCACATTTTTTTGTGACACTTCAAAACAAAATTTCTAGAGCCTGTTTGAATGTATGTTAAAACTGAAAGCATATATGTATGGGGCAGACTTTTGCAAAATTTTTGATTGGTAGTATTTTATTTTTTACAAGCTTCCTTTCAGAATATTTCAAAAATATAAGAAAATTCTTCGTTTGTGTCATGGTAAATATCCCGGGCCCTAGCCATTTTCCAGTCCACTAAAAAGTCTGGGATTTTGGGTTATTCGTACTTGGGATGGCTATAGTTTCTTCTGAATTTATTGCTCTACTTACATCTAACCTGGTGTTTTTTGTAGCGTCCCATAAAGTTAGCCGGAGGGCAGAGTTCTCGACCGAAAGCCGATTTTTTAAATTTTTTTGAAAGGAGTTAGATTTTTTTGACTCGCTGCCATTCAGGATGTATGAAGACAGTATGCTAACGATACATTCAAAAATTCACTAACTGAAATTGTCCTATACGGTAAAAAATTAGCATAAACTGCACATTTAGGCGGCTTTTTGTAATTTTTTTACTGGTATGGCAAGAGGAGCTTCAGCTTAGCGCGTCTAGGAACTGATAGTGTATGTCAAGGAGGATCAATTATTTATTAAATAACTAGGATACCGGGCGAGAGTAATGAACAGAAAACGTTTTTGTAAAAATTCCCTAAATTTCGTAAAATATTGGTAGATTTGAAAGATTCGATTTTTCTACCGCATAGCTAAAGCTAGCGCGAATGTTTAGCGTTGGAGTTGTAGTGCTACTCATACACTACAACAACAGAAAGCGTTATCTCTTAGTGCTTCTAATAGCTGCGTCTACAGGGTCTACTTTTTCCAGACCCTAATTTTTGATTTTTCGCACTAAAAATTTTTCGACTAGCCCTATAACAAATTGTCCTCGATGCCATAGAGATTACATACAGGCATACCATATTCTAGAATATTAAGAAGATGCAGCCACTCTAGACGTAACGCCGGCGGTTTACTTTTTCTTCCTTCAAGTAGTTAAGGTTTAACACGGCGCTACTATTACAAATTCCTAAGTTGTAAAAAGCTGTTAATCTAATATAATCTACAAACAGCCCCCTTTCTAACAACATATATATCAGGCACTCTGGCTTCGGTTTAAATTTTTTAAAATTTTTGAAAGACATGTGGAAAAACTTTTGAATCAACCTAATATTTAACCCTTTCCGGACGAGTCGGCACGTCCATGCAGAAATGAAAGAGGGTACCCTACTGAGTAACGGCATAATAGTGGTTCAGCCCATCGAAGCGTTATTTGGGACTTATGACAAAAAATGTCCTAAAAAGTACCCCCAGTTGACATAACCTTTATAAAATTTTGCTAACGACCTGTAAATTAGACACTACCCCTAAGTTAAAGTCTAACACTCCTACTACTGTTACATCCAAGAACTGTCCAAATCGGACCACTACGGGATTAGTTATCGACTTTTGGAAATTGAATTTTAAATTTCGACCAATTTTGGGCCCAAAATTGAGTATACCTTCCGTCGGAATCAACCATTCCGGTCCAAGTGTGGTTTTTCTGAATCTACATTGACGCTAGCTTCTTCCTAGAATGTTTCCAGAAAAAACCTATAGAGCACGTTTCTGTAAAAAGCGAAAAAGTTGAAAACGTAAAGGTTTCACCGTATAAAATGTCGCCGCCAGCCGAGAAGGGTCGGGCGCAGCTCGAAAGGCGAAAATAATATTTTTTCTTCGAAAAATATTATTTTAGTGTCGAGAAGCTGAATTCAGATGAAATACAGACAGACAGAGCACGCAAACATTAACTCAATGTCATTTTAATATTTTTAATGCGTTTTCAGGCAATTTCATTGGATTTTGCTTTAGTTTCACACTAAAATAATATTTTTCGAAGAAAAAATATTATTTCGCCTTTCGAGCTGCGCCCGACCCTTCTCGGCTGGCGGCGACATTTTATACGGTGAAACCTTTACGTTTTCAACTTTTTCGCTTTTTACAGAAACGTGCTCTATAGGTTTTTTCTGGAAACATTCTAGGAAGAAGCTAGCGTCAATGTAGATTCAGAAAAACCACACTTGGACCGGAATGGTTGATTCCGACGGAAGGTATACTCAATTTTGGGCCCAAAATTGGTCGAAATTTAAAATTCAATTTCCAAAAGTCGATAACTAATCCCGTAGTGGTCCGATTTGGACAGTTCTTGGATGTAACAGTAGTAGGAGTGTTAGACTTTAACTTAGGGGTAGTGTCTAATTTACAGGTCGTTAGCAAAATTTTATAAAGGTTATGTCAACTGGGGGTACTTTTTAGGACATTTTTTGTCATAAGTCCCAAATAACGCTTCGATGGGCTGAACCACTATTATGCCGTTACTCAGTAGGGTACCCTCTTTCATTTCTGCATGGAGGTGCCGACTCGTCCGGAAAGGGTTAAAAAAAACAATCTTGAATCACGTATTTTAAAATAACTTTCAGGCACTGGACCAGTTCTAAAAATCTTCAACCTTAACTCAAATTTTATTAGAGATCATTGTACAGAAAATGTTTCAAAATTCAAGGAATCGATAAAAATCGTTGAATAAAAGATATGCAATCTAATTTAGAGATGAGAAAATTCATTCATCCACATCCATTTCCTGAACTTCATCATCATCGGGGTCAAAATGAGTTCTTTCGATCAATTCTTCATCAATGAACACTTCGAACGGCAAAGTTTCCAGGGTTTTTGGGTTAAATAGATACACCTAAAAGTAAAAAAAGTATTGACATAACTTCTACAGCCTTATCCCACCAGTAAACATCCAAATTCAACAATTTTCCGCACGGGGATTCGAACCCTCCCCAAAATCAAAACCATCTCACAACCCACTGCACCATTCGAACACACTTTCAATTTTATTTCAAAAATCGGTTTACAGACCTATTTAGCATCTATTCCACCTAATAACCATCATTTGATCCATCTAAACACCTAACAAAAACTCACCTCATGAGTTTGACTGAACCTGGGCAAGGATAACATCAAAACCTTGCATCCATCCGACAATTTGACCATTTCCGATGCAAATTTCGGCTGGTTTCCGACAAAGAAGACATGAGGAGTCTCTTTGATGACCAATGGGTCTTTTCCAACGTACGGATGCCCATCAATCGTGTCTGGGCAGGTCGGGCAGAGATGGGACTTTTCCAGGAGATCTTTCATGAGTTCAATTGTTGATTTTCCCTTCGTATATCTGATCATATCATCAATGTTCTGGCCTAGAACAAGAATCAGCGAGTTTTGCCAAAAAAAGTGACATTTTATACGATGAAACATTTCCTGAGGAAAAAATATTGCCAAATTTAAACATTCCAAACCATTTTTTCTGGCTCAAAAAACTGAAACCACAATTATTTCTCTTAATTCAATCAATAACAATAGGAATATTACCCTATTTCCGCCAAATTTTCCATTCCAAAAAATCATCGTATAAAATGTCGCCCAGTCACAAAAACGACCAAAAAACCAACCTGAAGATCCCAAGAATCTCACCCCATCGTAGTCAAAGGAATATGGGTTCGTTACGGTATCGCAATTACTGTAATATTTCTTATTTCTCAACAAGGACTTCTTCAAAATCGGTCGCTGTGGCCATAGGGCGTCACAAATGTCGTTGGGGCCGGGCATAAGCGTCACCGGGACTGTCATCTAAACAAGAAATGTATTTATTACATCCAAAGTCTCTTCGGAGCAGCTTACAGTCATATCTTCGAGCAGCCGGTCCAATTGCTCGAGGCCATTAGGTTCGTAGGTCTGACTTTGTCCCAATTTGGTCACCATGTACCGAGTGTAGTCCTAAAACCGGAAAACTGAACACAATATAAACAAAACCACCTTTGTCGATATCCTCACAGTGTCGCCTACAAATATAACCCGTCCCACTTTCTTGCCCAGGTCACATTGCTGCGGGTCCAACGAATTTCCTTGCAGAAAGTCGGCCAGCTGATGGAACGCCGCCATTTTCCACTCGTTTTTGGCGATTTGAGCGTTCAGGTTGAAGCCCGATATAAACATTATGTATCTAAAAGCCAACAAATTTATTTATAGCGTATTCCACTTACGAATCCGAGACTTTGGAGGGCCAGGGGATCTGTGGAGCCAACTGGGGACAGATCACTTTTTCCACGACAAAATCTTCGTTTGCATCTTTGGCGCCGTAAAATCCGAGGATGTTTCCGGTCACGAAATGATCCTAGAAGCAAACAGATTACATGCCAAACTCAAATTTGTATGGTCAGCGACTTTTGAATATGACGTGCCTCCAATTCTCATTTTTTCAATCTAAAATCCAAAGAAACGACAAAAAAATCACATACCTTGTTAATATCAGCTCCAACCAAAGGAAGCCGCTGTTTATCATCTTCAATCTCAAGTGTATCCGCAGATGAGCATAAAGTTTCAACTCTAGCATACGGATTTTCGGCATTTAGTTCTGCCTCTTCTTCTGCGTCCTCCAGATCCCAAAGCTCATCCTCATCGTCAAAATCTTGCTTCTTGAATTCGTCAAAGACGCTGGGTCGATTTTTACATCGTTTTATCGTTACACCGCAGATCAACGCCGGCCGATTTGGAACAAGTTTCGAAAGAGGTGTGATCTTGATGGATTTGTCTGGAAACCGTAAATGTAAAGGATAAACAAGCACGAATCTTGTCGAAGAAAGCTAAGAACGACATGAAAAATATAGTACAAAACAAAAAAACATTGATTTAGATATAAATTTCATTTTTCTTCAACATTCATGCCTAGTACAAATTTTTGGTAAAATTTCTAATTGGATGGCCCAAATTCCAACTCAATCTCTCTCTAAACCAAGAATACAGAAAAATAAAACCACTTACCAACTTCTTCCCTAGCTCTGGCCAAGATTCGTCCCTTCAGAGCTTGGACTCGGCTATCATAGTATCGGAAATATTGCCGATTCTGAAGATCGGCTTGTCTGTCCTCTTCTTCATAGTAAAATTGATCAAAGCGGTGCTCAAACGGGACCTTGATTCGCTGATTCTCCTGAGACATAGCCTGAAGCATTGAATTTTATGTAAAAACCAGAATTTTTTGCGCAATCTTTGATTCAATACCAACAAGAATAAAGTGAAGGTAAAATTGATAAAAATTTTTAACAAAATTAGAGGCTACTCCAGTAATTTACGTGTAAAAAAAGGAAAGTAAAAGTTATTTTATTTGTTTCGCGAAAAGGCGCCAAAATAATATTTTTTTTTTGACATTTCGTCATATTATTGATTTTTTCACATAATTTCAAAATTCAAATTGGAATTTTTCTAATCCATTGCGAAATGTTTGGCTTATGTCATCGGGGTCTGCAGAGACCACGTGCGACCATTTACATAGCCTTTGTTGACTATTTACACAAACTTACGCGATATTTACAGCCTAATCCCCGGAGGTCCGAATTCGGTCACAAACCCATAGTCTTCTCATGCAAAAACAGCCCCAATATGAAGAGTTAGACTATTTTCGGTAATTTCGAACTCAAAAGATCTTCAAAGTGTTGGTCTTTTCTTATTAGTTATATTACTTTAGAGGGTTACGGTAATTTTTTTCTCTCATTCTCTACTAACAAGGGAAGTACCCCAAGTGCGACGCATAGATTTTGATGAAACTTGGCAAAAATTTAGAATAATTTTTTCTAAGATATATGCGAGAATTCTAGGTCGCGCTTTGCAGAAACAACCTAGATTTTTAGATCGAAATTCAGCGAAAATTTGAGAATTTTTGCCGATTTTTGGCACGAAAAGTTTCACACTTATTTCTACTGTAGAGGGTAATGTTTCCACAAAAAATCAATTTTTTCCACACGAAACTAGCAAAGTTATTGCCAAAAAAGTGCTTTTCTCTCTGACCGCTCTCCGCATTTCGCGTACTCTCTCGGCTTCAAAAGATCGTTCAATATCTCAGTGGCGCTTGCAAAGCGCGGGCTAAAACTTTCAGTAATTGATATCTAGTCTATGCCCGATGTGTGTGCAAAATTTAAAGAAAATCTGAGCGTTGAACTTGGGGTACTTCCCTTGTAAATCAATGTTGTTTAGGCCAAATATTTACGTTTGGCCTGAACCCCAAACGTAATTGGCATTGTCCCAAACCATCTCCCGTAGAAATACAGTACTTGCACATCTTTTATGAATTGAATTCTCACTTGGAAGTCGAAAAAAAAACAAGTGTGAAAAATAGGCGAGACGAAGGAAGGGAAAACAGGCACATTGTCACAGGAAAACCGTAGTGTGGGACTTGGAATTTAATGTCGGACTAATAATATGTTTTTGTAAATATGTAAATATTTACTAGTATATATACAACAGTTTTTGTAAGGCGCTTTGGATTTTCGGGTCAGCGGCAATTCGGGTCAACGATACTTTGGATCGCGTCGATTCGTCGTTGTAGGCATCAGGGAGGCCAGGAGAAGGCTTAGTTAGTAAAAATAATAAGATTGATTGTGACCTGTGTAGGATATCTTATAATTTTTTGGGGTATTTTACATGCACTCACATCAATAATATCTAGATAAAAGTTACAGATCTTCTTTTTTCGCCGCAAATTTTGGTCTTCTATAGTTTAGTAGAAATAATAAGATTGATCCGATTATAGGATATCTTAACACATATTTTGAGGTATTTTACATGTACTCACATGAATATGTAATAATATATACAGTGGCGGACCTGATCCAGTGGCAAAAAACGTACCATTTTGCATCCGGGAAGTATCAAAAATGTGGCAAAATACCCCCTTCTCCAAGTGAAAAACTGCGACTTTAAAATCCCTTTTTGTGAGGGAAAGATTGCGCCCTTCAAGAAGAAGTTTCTTAGTTTGACAAGGAGGCATTTTGCCACATTTTTAATACTTCCCGGATGCAAAATGGTACGTTTTTTGCCACTGGATCAGGTCCGTCATTGTAGACGAAATTTATGGATCTTCGTTTTTTGCCGCAAATTTTGTTCTTTTATATGTTAAAATCACTCAGGGTTAAGGAAACTATCGTTATTAGTTCTTTTGTAAGACCCTGTAGAATTAGTGGACGTATTTTAAGCCTTCGCCAAGTCTCCGCCGAGCCTTCGCCAAGCCTCCGCTGACCATCCAACGGCTTTGTCAGGCCTTGTAGGCACTTCGTACAACCTTTTTTGACATCCACTTGACCTACACCTCGTATCGATCAATTTTTTTTGTTGACCCGAATGGTCGTCGACCCGAAAAGTCAGGGCACAAAAAATTTATGTTTTTTGCACCGTGTGGCCTCATTTTCGAGTTCGACTTGGTATCGCCAATTTGAAGTGGGCTGTTTTATTATCAAATTAGCTAATTTCATCAACCTTGTGGTCTGTTTATATCACTTGACTTATAGTATTATGAGTAAAAGTAATGTGATGATGTTTAGAACGCGCCCTTCTCCTAATCCCACATTTTAAAAAAGTTCTGCAGAATTCTGTTGAATTTTTATTACAGATGACAACGAACCATGTGGAAGCCGACTTCAATGTCCACAGCATCTCCAACACCCTTTTTATGTGCTCTTTGTACATTGTACTGGGTAAGTCGCATGATTAATTTGATTTCATTTTTTCTCGGGCTATTTTCGCATGGTCTGGGGAAGTATTTTACGGCTTAATAAGCCCTGCTTACCCTTAAAATAGCAATGTTACAGTGGCGGAATTGACCCAGTGGCAAACAATTTATCATTTTGTATCCGGGAAGTATCAAAAAATGTGGCAAAATACCTACCTCTCCAAGTGAAAAAAACACTTTTTTGAGCACTTTCCTTCGCAAAAAGAGCAACTGTCAGCCCCAGTGTACAGTGACGGACCTGAGCCAGTGGCAAAAAATCTACCATTTTGAATCCGGGAAGTACCAAAAATGTGGCAAAATGCCTCCATCTCCAACTAAAAAAAAACTCCGTTTTGAAGGGCTCCTTCACAAAAAGAGCATATGCATTTTTGAAATCGCATTTTTTCACTTGGAGAGGGAGGTATTTTGCGACATTTTTGATACTTCCTGGATGCAAAATGGTAGATTTTTGCCACTACTCCAGCACTGTTACAAAAATTTTCAAAAATTGTTACACATTTTACATTACTTTCAGGTACCGTAGCGATGATAGCCAATCTTCTGAACATCCTAATCTTCCTCACTCATCGCGATCTTCGAACGAACCATGTCTTCTTCATTGCGCTGGATTTCGGTGAGATGATCAACGGGCTTTCCTACGTTTTGACCGGAATTGGCCGGGGAACGCACGCACTGCGCGGCGATTATGATCGCCCAATCACTGTTCACGAGTGCTTTTTTCAAAAATTTTGGCCAATTCCCTTGATTCTTGGGACCGAGATTCCGGCTTTGATGACGTTATTGCAAAGTGCGGAGCGAGTTATCGCCGTTGAAAAGCCCTCCGCTTATAACCAATTGTTTTCGGCGGATCGGAAAAAGATGTGGATTGGAGGGATGGCAATGGTTCAGATTGTAAGCAGGCTCTTCTATTTTCTTTTTAGATCAAAATCAGCAAAATTTTTAATTCTTAAGCAACCAAATCTGCAACGAGAGAAAAAGTTGACTCAATGGGTCAAGTGTTGCATTATGACGGGAAAAACAAAAAAAGTGTTACAAAATTTTACATTAGCTTCAAATTAATTTGTTGTTTGTATTTTACTTTTTTTATTCCCTCATTCTACCTTCTAAACACCGACAGAAACACTTGACCCAAAGTGTCGACTCTTCCTTTAATCTATGTTTAGTGGCTATTATTCGGTATTGTAATGCACGAAAACAGATTTCAGCTTATTTTATCAACAGCCGCAGCTTCTTCATGGCATAATCAGCGAGTGAATGCTGATAAACACTGTGCTATTATAAGTTCAACGGCCGGATTCTTCAGCACCTTCCATTTTATTTTCATTGTAATGGCATACATGTTGAGTTTCTGTTCGTTATACACGATTCATCACTTTTCACAGGTAAGAAACGCGAAAAATCAGCAGGTGACATTTTATACGATGGAAATTTAAGAAAGATTTTTTATTGTATAAAATGTCGCCTGTAAAGAAAATGATATATTTTTGGTATAAAACTGAAAGGAATTAAAGTAATAATACAAATACACTTTATCATCTTTTGCAGCATATTTTTTTCCAAAAATGCCCAAATTGTCAAAAGAACTTTTCATCGTATAAAATGTCTACGACTGAAAATTCTTCGCTTTTAGAGGCGAAAAAGTGAAGAAGGTATCATCATGGTCTCTCGAAATACAAAAGCTGACCATCAGCTCACGGTTTTCTTGGTCATGACGGCCATGGATATTGTGCTAGTCACCATCCCCGGAGTTGTCATGCTGGGCGCCAAATGGCAGTACTTCGCACCGAACGACCTGACAGTCGCTTTAACTTACTCTACGACTGGTTTCATCTCACTGGTTCATATTTTCATCAACTATTATTTTAACGAGTTGTTTCGGAAGCAAGTCCAATATTGGAAATCAAAGGCGTTGCGGCAGACGAAGACGACATCCGTTCATACAAGGAGTTTTGCAACGAGAAGCAGTGCGAAGAGAGAGCATTCTAACGCTACCGCTATGTTCTGACCGATTTTTAGTCACTTTTGATAATGCGAGGAAGAGTTGACTCAGTTGGGTCAAGTGTTTCTCTGATCAAATGTGGCTGTATAACGCTTAGAATTACTGTAGTTTGGTTGCTGATACACTTTTCTGGCCACAAAAAAATATAAATCAGACTTTTAATTGGTTGAACCATCTTATACGCTAAAACATGTCCTAACAAAAATTTTTAAATTTTTATTTTTTTTTTTTCAAATTGACAACAAACAACTATTCTAGAGACTTTAGAGGGTGCGGTGATGATATATATCAACGTTATGGCTATAAAATGGATGTGTTTTTGAATACTTTAGATGAGATTGCAAACTTAACATCATGGTTTTGGAAATGTCGTTTTGTTACAAAAATGCGCGAAACCGAATCGATATCGTAATAGAAAATGAGAGTAGTAATAGAAATATGATATATAATATGTAATCGGAGAGAAACGAGTGAATATTTGAATACTGGAATATAATCATTGCATACAACAAGCACTGGGTGTATCGGGGATAAAAATGATTAGAATATCTATAATTTTGAGGGAAATTAAAGGGGCTTTGAGGTGAGGATTAAGTGACAGGCTGTTAGCTAAAAAGCTGACGCAAATTTTACGCCTTATCTCCTCAGATTTTTGAGTTTAGAGACGTTTTATACGATGAAAAATACCAAAATTGGGCTGTTCAGTTTTCATCGTATAAAATGGCCGCGTTACGACAGATTACATAGGTAATCGCGTATAGGTAAGTCAACAGAAACAACTTCGCATAGCGGCAGGAAATTTCCGTATTTTGCAGCGCACGCCATTTTATACGATGAAACATATCAAACGTCACTATTTCTATTTTCATCGTATAAAACGTCTCCCTAACATTACCACCATTTGAAAATCACCTCAAAACCCGCTTGAGGACTCAGAAAGTGACTACGAATTCTTTGACGAGACAATTTTGATTACCAGTATACCTATGGGTACTTTAGAGTAGAGTCCACCGTGGGAGGCATGAGTGATATGATGTCGACTCCATTGCTGTTACTATACGTGGTGTCGGGTTCGGAATGCCCACTCCAATGCAACGTCAAAGGAGGCCAGAATTTGTCATCGCCGGGCGGCGCGGTCCATCGATGATTCAGTGGCATTCTGGGCGGGTTTTGCGGCACGTCCACGTAGTGATACTGAGGTGGTGCGGAGAAAGCGTTGGAGTGGGTGCTGGAGAAGGCCTGAGGCTGTGTTGTGCCGCCGAAGCCCACACTCACGGGCGGATGAACAGTTGAGGGAACTGAAGCGGCAGCTGTAACGGACTTTCTATTCAAAACATCGATGACATCAATTCGGGTTTTCCCAAACTTGTTCATCAACTTTTCCAGGGCGATTTCGAATTCTTCCCCGTTGTTTAGCGATGGAATATCCTGGAATGAAAATTTTAGGTCAGAGTTAAGGTTAGAGTTGGATTTTCGACTTTGGAAAGCCTTGAGAGCCAAGGTTATACACTTACATGTTCAAACTTGTAGTTCTCGGAACCGGCTTGTTTGCAGGTGACTACAGCAACTCGCATTGGGGTGAAACTAAAATAAAATATTGTTATTCGTCTTCTTGGAGACTAAATTTTTTATAAACAATCCATATGCCACTATATTCCCGTTTTTGAGTCAAGTCTTCCTTTCAAGGGAAACACTTGACCCAAAGGAGATAACACTTGACCCAATGGAGATTTGGCATAACACAATGGCCAAGTTGCTTGCAAAATACGCGATTACTTATGAAACTGTTATTTATATATTTGGGTCAACTGTGCTCCTCAAAAGAGAGACTTGACTCAAGGCCCAAAACAGCCCATAAAATCGCCCGGCAACTTACCATTGAGTTTCCTCAACATCAATTCCCTCCGTATGAACCAAGTTGGAAGTGATTTCTCGTTGAGTTGGCTGGGCTTGAGAGAAGAAATCGGAGGATTTGGGGCACTCTTTCATGGCCTCGGAAACTAGCATCCATTCATGATTGGCCGTGTATAAATACTCCACTTTCTCGGCAATCAGGATGTCTCGAAGGTATTCGTGAAGCGATTTGGCCTGAAAAATAAAATTTGAGCATTTTAGCCAACTTTTATGTCAAGCGGAACAGTTGACTCGGGTTGGGTCAAGTGTTCCGCTTGTTGTAAAGTAGAGGGAAAACTGTGGAAATGAACTTTTCAAAAGAATTAAAGCCGATTTTACAACGTTTGAAAGCCCTCTAAGCCACAAAAATTGTTAAAAATTTGCGAAAACTCGGTAAAATCCAAAAAAAAAACTCAATTTCGGCCAAATTTACCTGCAGTTTCCTCAAATCCAGCGGTTCCAAGTGCAAGATCTGAGCCCCCGATTTGACTGAGAAGCAAACACAGCCACCCATGACAAACGACAGGTACATTATTAGCCCCGACTCAATCCTTGAAAGTTGCAACGCAATCTTTTGCCGTTCCATGAACCCATTGAGCAAGCCGGCTTCCCAAAGAGTCTTGATCTCGGTCCGTTGGTCGCTGAACAAATGCAGAAGCTCCAACATCCCTCTCCACACGCTGAACTTGACGTCGGTCTTGCCGACGGAGTAGTGCAAATGGGGGCAGAGGACGTTGCGAAAAGCGATTGAAGGAACTTCGTAGGCGTTGTAGGGAGTGTTATCTGAAGTGTTCATGATGAAATCAATTTTCAGACTGTTTTTGATCTTTAAGAGATGTCGAGTCAAGTTTTCCTCTCATTTTTGATTGAGAGAAACACTTGACCCAAAAATCACAAACTGCGGGAATTACGGAGAAAATTAGTTTTAAAACGTAAATGTAGATGTCACGTACGCTAAAATCGATTTTAACAAGTATTTTTGTAGAGTCATGTCTCTTTAATAACAAAGATGAGACTTGACCCAATCTCAAAATTTTGCAAACCGTGAAATTAAAAATTGTAAGACTTAATTTACTGTATTTTACGGCATTTTTTACTCTAAAAAACTTATGGGTCAACTGTTTCCCTCGAAAAAAAGTTGAGAGAAACACATGACCCAAAATTCGAAAATTGCTCGAGACTTCGGAAAACTTACGTTCACTGCATTCAGGACAATGCATCTTGTTTCTCAAGATCAAAAAGTCCTCATCCGTCAGCGTTCTATTCACCTCCGCATTCATCGCAAAGTACTGCGCATACAGATCCTTGAACGCTTTCCAATCTATTGAATTATCGTACCACTGAAGCAGCAGCCCATCCAGTGCGGCTGTCCCGTACATCCAGAAGCAAGTCGCCGTATACGAACTCATCATTCGTTGGACTTGACAGTCTTGGTTTCGCCGGGTAGCGATTGCGAATGGCATGGATAAGGTGTGAGCGGTTTGAAGGCCGCCGGTGAAGCTGAACATCTCGGCCTTCACGTGGAAGTAGAACAACGGACGTTTTCCGGTCTGACCAGCAGATCGTGAGTCCAGCAAGGCGTCCTGGAAAGGTGGAAATCAGCGAGGGGAAGAGTTGACACAAGGCTTGGAAAAGTGGAGAGACAGATGACCCAAAGGAATAAAATAGTCAAAAATAATTTTATAAAGCGTTCAACAGTTGGTAAAAATATAAGTTTCAGCTAAAGGCTAATTTTAAAAATTTTGTGTAAAGTTTTCCTCTGAACGAAAGACTTGTCTCAAGCGAAGGAATAACAGGGCCGGAGGTCGTAAAGAACTCCTCGAATGCGGAGAAAGCGTCTAATTTTAATTTCTCGTAGTAATCTTCCAGCATTAGCTTAATCTTGATTTTTGGGTCAAGTGTTTCCCTCTCCTTACCCCGTCGAAAACGTCTCCAAAAGGCTTCAAAAACTATTCCAAGAAATACAAACAACTACCAGAAGACCTCTCAACAAAAAGCCAACCCTTACTTTTTGCCTTGTAGTGCATAACAAATGTGGATACGTTGCAATCCAAGACTGGTATTCTGGATCAAACGAAGGCGGAATGGAAATCCACTCTTTGGAGTTGACATCACTCTTTTTGTGCGCCGTATTTCCACCGCCATCAGAAGCGGTGGCGTTGTTCCGTTTCACTCCACTTGACGGCTTCATGGCCAACAGCGCGGCCGAAGGGGTTTGGCGGACTGCGACGGGAGGATCGAATGTCTTTCGATGACGCATTTCTTGCTGGATTTGTTGGGCTACTGTAACGGAGAGATTTATTAGAAGAATTTTCAAGCTGAATGAAACAATTTTTGAGAAATTTGAGCTTGATTTTATGAATCTGGAAATTGAGGGGAAGACTTGACTCAAAACTTGAAATTTAGTAACTTCGAGGAGTAAAATGATAATAAAAGAGTAAATTTAAGACTATTTCAAATATTATTCAAAACAAAAATTGATAAAGTTTGCTTTGAACAAAATTTGGGTCAAGTCTTCCCTTCGATAGAAATTTATCGAATAATCGCACAAAAAGCTCAGAAATATTTCAAAAATAAGCTAGTGATCAAAATTGAACAACATGGTTGAAAAATATATCAATAATACTAAAATTACTCACCTTCCTCACTAACAATTTGAAGCGAATACTCCTTGAACAAGGTGCAGCGGCAAAGCGAAGCAATTTTTGTGGGAAAAAGATTGTTCGTCACCAAAATCGCATTCTGACTCGGTTCGATGCAGATTATGGAGTCGCTCAACAGCATCTCCACCATGTTGTAGACCATTTTGAGGAGTGGCGAGATAAGTTCAGGCTTGGCCATTCCTTTCGCCGCCCTCGCACCATAACAGAAACCCTGGAAAGATTGAGGGTTAGTTTATTAAAAAATAGGATAAAAATTGGACGGATGTATTCCAAGCCCAATTTTCGATTCTCGGAAAAAAGCTTGACTAGAGAAAAACTTGACCCAAAATCGATAGTCTAGTGTAATCTATCGGCTTCGGTAAATTTGAGTCGGGTCAAAATGGTGTTAAAATGTACCAGCACTTCGATAAAATCGCGCTTCAATACGATTTTTACTAAAACGTCGGTTTTTAAAAAATCTTGTGTCAAGTCTTCCCCTCGCAATAAAAAATAAATCATACTGTCTAAAATACACTATGAATATTTTTGCAAACAAAAAAACAAAGACGTAACGTGCTGCCTATGTGGTTTCAAATGAAATTCGAGTTTTGCTTGCCAAGAGGAAGACATGACCCATCTGAGTCAAGTGTTTTCCTTGATCAAAACTCCCAAAAATTCCGAAAATATAGCTCAGATTAGTAGCATTTCCTGTAGTAACTTACCAAAGTAACCTGCAATCGTGCTGCCAGCACACCGAGATTGTACAACATATGGCTGTAAAATGACATAGCCACTGACAAAAATCCTTTGTTGTTGAAGCCGTATCGAGTCATTTTTTGGATTTGCGTTGTCCTCAACTGATTCCACACGTAATAGCCATGCTGAAGAGTCAAAATTCGGATTAAAATTTTAAGAAATTCCATAAAAATCAAGAAAATTCCGAAAAAAACCCGTAACCTACCGCATTACAAAACTCCCGCTGCAGTTGGAAACAATTGATCAGTTGGTCCTTGAACAGCGCGATCTGAGCCTCAAACTCGGGAGTGACGTACTTCTGCTGACACATGGTGTAAAGATCATGGAGGGATATGAGAGACGTGACATAAGCTTGGTAGAATCGATCGAAATTACTGTCGGTTTTAGAGACTCCGACGGGTGGTTGCATTCGTTGGGCTTTGTTGACCAGGTCCACCAGAGCTGCATGGATTTTTTCCTGAAATTTGTGGATTTTTTAGAAAAAAAAGTTTTGGGTCAAGTGTTTCTCTCGGAAAGAACATAGTGTAGAAATGAGCTTAGGTCGTAAAAATTGATCGAGAGGACAGTATAAAGCAACCCTATGAAAAATTTAGAGTAGGAGTGGTAATTTGACAGACTTTTTCAATATGGCGCCAACTTGACGTCAAATTGTCGGCGCTACGACTTTTCGGGTCAACGATACTACGGATCGCCTCAGTTCGTCGTTGTATGCATGGGGAGGCCAGGAGAAAGCTTAATTAGTAGAAATATAATAATAAGATTGATCGGGTCCTAGGATAGCTTATAACCTATACAATAACCCAGGGTAAAGAAAACTAATGTTATAATAGCAAAAATTACAGAAGGTGGACATATGGCAAGGCTTCGGCAAGTCTCCGCCAAGTCTCCGCCGAGCCTTCGCCAAGCGTCCGCCGGCCATCCAACGGCCTTGCCAGGCCTCATAGGTTCTTCTTTACAACTTTTTTTTAGTGTATTCACCTGCCCTACGATCGATTTTATGATGACCCGAACAGTCGTTGACTCGAAAAGTCGGGAAGCGAAATTGTCACTTTCGCTATTTTTTCTATTTTTTAAAGATTTAAAATCCAAAATTTCTGGTTTTCGAAGCACTCAAGATCAAGTTTAACAAATTTCCAGTAGCCCCAAACCAGCCACTTACCTGGAAATGCTTTCCTCCGTAGTCCAAAAAGCCGCACAATTCATCGGCCTCCTTCTCCAATCGATTGATGATCGACAACAAAGTCCATGTCAAAAATGCCCATTCGTCAAAGTAGTCGGCGGTCGGAGGCTCTGCGGACGAGGGCAGCAGCACAATACGGCCTTCGATTTCATTGAGGATCTTGTAGAGCGAACGGTTGAGCTGTTGGCCGCGCTGTTCGCTGGTCACTTTCTCTTCGGCCGCGTTCTGATTGGCTGGACTCGTCGCCTCTTTCGGGGCCAGTTTTCGGATTCGATGATAAATGCAGAACTGTAAAATATGTTACAAATGCTTGTGCACTTGATTTCAAAGCTTTTCAAAGGGTTTTTGAATGAGCGGAAAACTTGACCCAAATGGATCAAGTTTTTCTCTGGCTCAAAACTGGTAAAAACTGGCGAAACAAAGTGTAAGAAATGATCGGTAAGCGTCCTAAAGGCTTAGACAACAAACATAAAGCACTTACAAACTCATAAATGTCTTGCTGAAACGCGGCGTTGCCGGTCCGAGGATTGCTGCTCATTTTGTGTTGGGACACCAAAATTTAGCTCAAAACAACGCCGCTCTTTCGATTGTCATGCCACCTAAAGGTTGGAAATGAATTGCAAAGGGTTGTCAAATACGCTCGCACAGAAATTTCGATTATTTAATGCAAAAATCATGTTGTCTATCACAAACACGTCAAATGGCAAAGAACCGTGATAAAATGTAAAAATTAAGTAGATTCGAAATTTAAAATATGTTGAGGCGTATTTTTTAATGATCTGAAGTAAGGTAGCAGCGGAAATAGGACAGGAAAGTTGCGTTATATCAAAATATTAACCATGACTGTCAAAAAAATAGGTGTTGAAAAATTGAATTTTTTCAAAGAAAGAGACTGGCACTATTGCAAAAATCATAAGTAAATGAAGAAATAGGCCAAGTACTTTCTGAAAAGTTGAAAAACAACCGGTTGATAATACAAAGTTTTTGAAAAACGACGTTTTTTTTTGACCTTCAAATCAAGTGGAAGGTCAGAAGAAAAAGGTCCCCACACGAAAATCGTCAACAAGCAATGATCTAGAAGCTACTTCTAAGTACTGTATATACTCTAAGGAAGTGCCTATTATACATTTCAGGCAGAGACAACAATGCGTCGACGCTTTGAGACAACTTTTTGGGTGCGGGTTGGGGGCAAAAACAACGATTTTTGACCTTTTTTCTCTCGTAATTCTCATTCGCTTATCAGTTTCTTCGTTGATAATTTTCTCGACCCTTAAGGAGAGGGCGAAACGTTGCGGCGAAGGCGGAGGGCGGGAGAGGCGCAGAGAGTGGGGCAACTTTTTTCGGAAGTTGAAAAGAAAAACAAATCAAAAAGTGATTGGGATTAGGGAGAAGGGGAAAGGGAGAGGGGTTGATTGCGGTCGACCGCTCGGTGCATAGTACATTGCAAGGTGACATCATAACAAAGTCTTTAGAGGGGTAAAATACGGGACAGAAATTTTTTGAAGTTATGTAAAAATCATAGTAGTAAATAGTAAATAATTAAAAATATTCGGGAAAAAAGTTTAAAATTCTTGATTTTTATAATGAAACTGGTCCATAATGGAGTTAAAATTTTGCATACCATAAGATAGTCTTGCTTTGCAACAATACAAATTCGTATTTTTACCAAAAATCAACGCTATCTCCCAAAGTCATCAAAATTGAAAAACTGTATATATCTTTCATCGTATAACTTGATACCCAATCGGTTCTACGCCTATACAAAACATTACCTTCAAGTAAAAAAATGACACTCTTACAATTCCGTTCACGTGACGAATCACGTGAAAATAGCCGCTTTTTTGGCCATCAGCTACCAGCCGCGACAAATAATCGCTTCAGCGCGAGTTAATCCAAATTATATCAACTAATTTGACGAGTGCACTCCAAGACACAGTTGGAGCCCAGATATAAAAGGACTTACGACATAAGCGGGTGTTAAAACATCAATAAAGATTTCATCAAACAGATGGCGAGGAATGACGAGAAAATCCGAAAAATTGCAAAATTCAGGTGTAAAGTGGGATAAGCAAAAGGTTAAGCGATTTTTTCGAAAGTTTCTTGCACTCTTGAGAATTTTCTGAGACGTCGATTTCAAAATACGACGGAAAAATTTCGTTCTCAAAGATATGCTATGTTAAAAATTTCGAGCATATTTCATCGTATAAAATGTCCACAGCATAAACATTGAGAAAATTGTTATTGATATTGTAAAATACATATTCAATAACGATTTTGTCCATCAAAATCTTCAGCAAAGTATCAAGGAAATTGAAAAAATCGCTAACATATGAATTAGTATCATGTATAATATAGCTAATCCCAGAGGCCCTCAATAGACCAAGACGCCCATTTTTGCATTATATATAACAGCTGATGCTGTGAGGAATATTCTAGAATAATCTACAGTTTTAACAAAGCCGAAAAACCGGTGCTGTCGGCCAATCTTCTCCACTCTAGACTAGATGTCGGAGAATATTTTGAGAAGCGAAAGCTGGAAACTAAACTAACAAGAAGACAACCATCGGATGCCACGCTCTTAAATAGTCGTAAACTCACATTCCCCGAATGTTTTTATCCAGCCCCGCCCATTTTTTAATCCAAACTACAGTAGCCTTTCAAATACAGTATGCCGCAAAAAATCATCATTAAAGTCGTAAAAACAATGTGCCAAATTGAATGTGAATCCCAAAAGGTGTAATATGTATGTAAAAAAAGAATATTTAAATTAAATTTGATTACAATACAAAGATCGGCGTGAAAGAAGGGTTGGATCAAGACGGTTTAAATTTTGACTGTCAAGGTAAATACCCCAAATTCAGTGCTCATATGGCCTTCAAACTTTGACCACTTTTAGGGCATAGGCCACGTATCAATCCCTGAAAATCTTAGCTCCCGGTTTCCAGAGGGAGCCGAGATATTGAACGATCTTTACGGCCAAAAGAGTACGTGAAACGAGGAGAGCGGTCAGAGAGAAACGCCCTAGAAAAACACTTTTTGGCCATATCTTTTCAAGTTTTACGCGGAAAAAATTAATTTTTTGGGGAAGTATTCCCTTCTATGGCAGAAATAGCAATGAAACTTTTCGTGCCGAAATTCGACAAAAAGTGTTAAATTATCGCCGACTTTCGATCTAAAAATCTCGGTTGTTTCTACAAAGCTAGGGTTTTCACACATATTCTTAAAAGAATTATTTGAAATTTGTGCCAAGTTTCATCAAAATCTGAGTGTCGCATTGGGGTACCTTTTTGAGCTGTTTAATACAGGGTGGGGCATCTTTGTAGCCCGATTTAAAATGGCTATAACTTTTTTAGCTTTTGACCAAATCCTAAAATTCTTTTTTTCTCTGAATCCTCAGACGTCCCCATTTTGTTTAATACCAAGTATTTAATACCCATTTATTAGCTGACATCAAAGGTTAATTAAAAACCAAAAGCACTAGTTTCCATGACTAACAAGGGAAGTATCCTTACAAAGATGCCCCACCCTGTAGTTTCTCCTCCATAAATGGACAAAAATTAAGCTTAAAAATGTTTAGTTTGAAGTCAAAAGAGCGTATTTTAAAAAAATCCGTTAATTACGCCATCACAAGAGCCCAAAAATCCCTAGTCGCGCCTTTGAAAACCATTTCGATCAAAAAGATCCTTTCCGAAAAATATTAATGAGCGCAAAAATTCCGCGACTCCCTTCGTCAACAAATATAGATGTGAAATGTCTGGGAAAAACGTCGCTCTGATTACTGATCTATCAATTTTTTTTGGGCGTCTTGTTGGGGATGGACGAAATGATTCGGGAACTGTGGAAAAGCCGGGAGCAGGAGGATGGCAGAATACAAAGGCTGGGAGAAAGATCAGTTGACATAGAGCTTGATAAGTTTGCTTATGTATAACTAACAGGTACCAAAAAATTTCGGGTCGACGACAGTTCGGATCAACACAAAATCGACCGATATACCATAGGGCGATCGATAGGTGGATACCTAAAAAAAGGTTGTAGGAAGTGCCTACGCCTGGCTAAGCCGTTAGATGGTCGGCGAAGGCTCAGCGGAGACTTGCAATATGTCCACTTTTCCTAATTTTAGCTATTACTATCGTTAGTTTTCTTTACCCTGAGTTAATGTAACATAAAAGACCAAAATTTGCGGCAAACAACGAAGATCCGTGACTTTTATCTAGATTCTATTGTTGTGGGTACATGTAAAATACCTTAAAATAGATGATAAAATATCCTAGGCCCCGATCAATCTTATTATTTCTACTAACTAAACCTGCCTCCCCGTTCTATATATTGATGTGAGTACATCTAAGACACCCCAAAATAGATGAAAAGCTCTTCTAAGATCGATCAATCTTACTATTTCTACTAAACAAGCCCTTTCCTAGCCTCCTCCATGCATACAAGGACTAACCAAACCGAGGCGATCCATAGTGGTTGACCCGAACTGTTGCTGAAGTCGTAGCGCCGTTTCGCCTACCCTCTTGGCGGAAAAGATCGCTGAATATCTCGGCAAAGCACTTGGCACCCTTCATTGTAAGCCCAACGGCCAAAAAATAAATGATTTTGCCTCTGATAGCTCTTTCATTTCCCACGTCTCTACGCTCACAAAGATCGCTCACTTTTTAGGCTCGAACCCTAAAAGCTGAGGTAATGTTTTTTCAGTACTAATTATAAGATATAGACAAGATATAGGCACAGAAATTTGCAGATTTCTGCATTTAGAACGATCAATATATTGGAATTAAGTTTGGCGAAAGCTATTCTACTCCTCAATTTGCCATTGACGTCAATTTCCCTCGCAAATTCTCCCCAGCGATCTTCCCGCTCTTACCAGAAGCCTCTGCATATTCCAACATCTCTGAATCATCACAAATAACTCCAAAACTGCGCCCGAAACACACAGGGCCGCCCTCGATTCCCGGCCTAATCCCGATATTTTCGGGGGGCACGCGGAGGGTGGCTGTAACGCAGATGGATAAGTCGCTTATGCACAAACTGCAAACTTCACAAGCAATCTGCTCGAGGGAGCGATGAAGCGAGTGAGCGGGCTTATCTACAGTACTCGCCGCACGTACTCAGCAGGCATTACAATGACTATTATACGCAAAAGTCGTGTTCAGTTGTAACCATGGGCGACAAAATCTGCATATGTTTTTTTACGGCGGTGAACCGTTCGTTCATTCGTTCGCAAAGAAGAAGACGTCGCATAAGAGGTGGAAATGAAGTTCTAAAGCACAAAGTATTGTATTAATACCGAGAAGGGGAGAAAGAAGAAAATCCGAAATAGCTCCCAATTTGATGACATTACATATAAGATATAATAAAATAAAAAATAGAGTTTTCTATGGAAATTTCGAGAATTATGACGTGTAGAAATCATCCTCCCTGCTACTAGTCCGTCCGCAAAGTCGCTGGAATCATTTTTGACGTTTCCATTGCGCAAGAAAACTCAGGGCGTGAGCGACAGCCCAAAAAACATACAGTGGAGGACCTGATCCATTG